TGTTCATTCAGCCGGAGTTGCTGTTTCAAGGCCGACCTCGACGAGACACCAAGGTTCCTCGGCAGCATCTTGTTGTCAAAACCGTGCCCTAGCGGCTCGCTGTGTGTGTAAAGCCCTGCAACAAAGGGTTCTATGCATGTACACTAACATTAAACTCTGACAGCAGGGGGATGGAGTGTGCTTCAGATGTCTCCATTCAACGAAGACGCATCTGTCGCACAGTGGTATGGATTGAGGACGCTCAATCCACGTACCTGCAAACTTCAGTTTGTGATCGCGTGTTGTTCAGGGCTTGCTTTCTTTTATTTCCTCCAGTTTGCAATCAGCGCAGGTGTATGGCAAGCGGCCAAGCCGAGAACCGCCTTGTATTTTCACTTCGATCATTGTCATGTCATGTATAACTTGTGATTTGTGGTTGATTTGAAATTTGGAATCTTGATTTGTACATGTGAATTTCATGACATTGCTCACTTCGTCGTGTGTGTGTGTAAACCCTTCTTGCACAGGGTGTGGTATGAATATGATTGAATATGCAGGGGGCATGCGGCCATCATGCAATCGCATGCCAACGAAGCTATGCATGATGGTGGAAGCCGGTGCTGACCACCCTGGTGTACCTGCAGTCAACTAGTTGAATTGTTGATTTCGGTTTTTGTTCAATGCCGTACCGTGTTTCCATTCACACATGTTTTTAATTCTGTTGGTTTGGCACTTTCCTGTCCTCAACTCGGACTTCGAGGAGAGCACCCACTTTTGGAACCAGCTTCACAGCTTCAAGTCTCAAAACCAGTCCAGTGCATTTATGTCACCGCAGCTTATATAGTCCGGGGGGGGCTCCATACCTCTGTGTCGCAGGGGTAGTGTGCAAACAGGACAGGCCAGTGACCCAGGTCAGGCCCGAGTTGCCAACACAGCTGAGAGGCAAGCAAACAAGAGCTCGTATAGGCACAGTCCAGCGACCACTAAACTAGGCAGATTGCCACACGCAGTCATAGACAAGGAGAATAGTTCATAAGAACATAAGCAGCTCACATGCATGTACAACCTGATTAGCATCTTCAATGTGGTCAACATTTTCAGTTTCCCCCAAAAAACGGTTTCTTTGTTGTAAGCTTTTTCTTTTCCTTCAAATTTGAGGACTGTTTTGTAACGTTTGCTATTTTTAAGTTGTGGGATTCCGCTGTCTTTTCCCTAAAGTTTTGGGACTGCGTGCTTTTTCTTTTGTACTTCTGTTGTTTCTCCTCCATGTTTGATGGGGGTTACGTGTTCTCGTCTGGTTGTGGCCCCAAAGGTGTTTGACAAAATACCCCTTCGTGGGGCGTGTGTGTGTAAACCCTTCTTACACCGGGCGTGGTATGAATGTGATTGAATATGCAGGGGGCGTGCGGCCATCATGCAAACGCATGCCAACGAAGCTATGCATGATGGTGGAAGCCGGGGCTGACCACCCTGGTGTACCTGCAGTCAACTAGTTGAATTGTTGATTTCGATTTCTGTTCAATGCTGTACCGAGTTCCATTCACACATGTTTTTAATTCTGTTGGTTTGGCACTTTCCCGTCCTCAACTCGGACTTCGTGAAGAGCGCCCACTTCTGGAACCAGCTTCAAGTCTCAAAATCAGTCCAGTGCATTTATGTCACCGCAGCTTATATAGTCCGGGGGGGGCTCCATACCTCTGTGTCGCAGGGGTAGTGTGCAAACAGGACAGGCCAGTGACCCAGGTCAGGCCCGAGTTGCCAACACAGCTGAGAGGCAAGCAAACAAGAGCTCGTATAGGCACAGTCCAGCGACCACTAAACTAGGCAGATTGCCACACGCAGTCATAGACAAGGAGAATAGTTCATAAGAACATAAGCAGCTCACATGCATGTACAACCTGATTGGCATCTTCAATGTGGTCAACATTTTCAGTTTCCCCCAAAAAAAATGGGGTTTCTTTGTTGTAAGTTTTCTGTTTTCCCCCACATTTGAGGGTTGTTTTGTAGTGTTTTCTATCAACGTTTTCTATTTTGAGGGCCTGGTTTCAGTTAGCTGAAACTTGCACTGTTTCCTATAAGCCAAAAATACTGTAATGGCCCCAACCTACTGGCAATGCACCAGCCGAAGGCTTTCGAATCCCCATACAAAATAAAAGCAACATGGTCCGACATACCAGAAGCACCTGTTTCCACAATACGGACAATACGTTTCAAAATACCCCAATCTCAAACCTCCAAGACTCAATTTTGAAGCATGCAGCGGGGATTTGCAAGGAGCTGGGGCCTTCGATTGCCGCTGCAACGCAGACCTCTTCCGAAGCCTGCGGCAATCCTGGCAAAAGTCCGAAAGCCGACAGGGGTGAAACGCAACACTGCTTAGCGACAGCCGATCAACAGGATCCGCTTTTGACTCGCCCACATTGAGACCGAAGATGATTGGACTCCGATGAAGAAGTCACGGAAGCGGGGGCATGCAGCATCAGAAAGGGCACCAATCGAGCTCTGTCGAAAGGAACCTCGGCTTTCAAGACTCCGGCGGCCAGCCACTTTTGGAACCCGAAACTCGAGCTTTCGGGCGGGTCATGGATGCTAAAGGCAGTCGTGGACCCGTGGGGGATGCTGAAGGACTGCCGCTTGTTGGTCGCGCTTTTTTCTCTTGCACGGTTGTCAATTTGAAACACGGGTTGCCCAGCTTGTCAGCCTTTAAACTACCAGACTTGCAATTTAGCATTCACAGCTGTCAGGTGAAAAAGGTCGTGCTGACAAGTGGGGTAGATCTTTTCCAAAAGTCAAGTGGGTCTTTAGGACGTTGGCAAAAACCTTCGCTGATGTGGCCTTGTTTGCTGCTCAGCTAGAAGGAGGACAACATAATTACATGGCAGTATCAGTCGACAACCTGGCCAAAGGATTAGAAAACCTTTAACAACCTGATCGTGTGATTTTTTCAGGAGCAGTATGTGACGATCAAACACACAGAGATCGAGCACACTTTTTTTGATCCTGAATTTTGGTCGCACCTTTCCTGTATGCCTGGCTTTCTCCCATCCCAGCTGTTTGAAGATAAGGACTGGGGCGGGGCTTTGGCTCGATAGCCTGATGGGCGACTTCACATATGCAAGTGAATGCACCTCAAACTGCTGCAAGCACGCACACACACACACACACACACTTGGCTTGCTTGTGGCCAGGCAGAAAATCGCACCCGGCTCTCAAAAGTGCTCTGAGACTGTCGGTTTTTTTAACACTTTTGACGTCCAAACGTGCTTTGGGCCACAGCCGCGTGCAAATTTTGAACATTTCAACTCAATTTCTAAAAGTTCTGTGTTACTATTTTGACTTACAAAATGTGCTTGGCGCCACAGCCGCATGCAATTTGTGAGCATCTAAGCTAGCAAAAGTGGCCCGAAACTCTAGGGCTTTGTACGTTTTGACATCGACACATGCACTTTTTCGACATCTCAACTAGCTGGTCCGGACGTGTTCTTTTTTTTGGTTGTTTAGTTTCTCATACCGGAGATGGCTCCGCGCCCGCTGCTTTAGGGAACGTATATATACTTTTCGACTCCGGGGCCCCAAAACATTAGGAAAACACGGTGTTCCGCGACTTTTCTACCTTTTCGCGCACCTTGATTTTCTTTCTACAGATTCTTTCTCTTAGACTGTTTCTCTTGTCTGACTGACCTTATGACTGCTCTCACCACTGTTGCTGCAACTGCTCATAAGTCGGAAGTCTGACTTTTAAATTTCCTTCGACAAATAAACCGTAAAATGGGATGGTTTGCTCTACCACCAAAGAACTTGGGTCAAAGCACGACAAAATGTGCATCGCAGGTTGCCAGCTGAGACCGGGCAGGAAAGCGTGTGGAAACCCATGTGCCGAGAAGCTGAAACCTAAATGAGACAGGTACTCCCCAGACACCTCTTGATTATCCCACTGATTTGGGCATTTGATATACTCATGATTTTGGGGCCCAGCTTTGGGGATAGTTAAGAGAACCTACGAGTCCATGTGTGTGCTTTCAATGGGGGTTGTGTCTGAGAAAAGGGTATAGCGCCCAACGGCACAATGGCACGGCGCGTTTATATACTTATTCAGAATCTGATGATTAACGAGAGGATCTAGGGGGCACTCTCTTTTCAAACAAACCCACATGGGGATAAGTGCGAACCAGTTAGAAACAATTAGAAATAATATGTATTTTTGCAGAATACCATGATTTTTTTGTCGGATTCCACCCCAAGAGACGCTGCATTTGGCCCCCCAAAATGAGGTATAAAACCAACCAGTTTATGGGGACCTAATGTAAAGCCAACAATGTGAGTCAGGCCTTGTGAAAACAGGAGATAGGCTCTCAAATTTATGGCAGTTTTGATGTGGACAGACCCATGAGATTGCATGAAACTGCATGAACATGCCATGAACATTTCAGGTACAGTAGATGTTAAATTGGTAGTGATATGGAAATATTATTTCAATGATTCAATGTGTGTTTTTCCATTTTTTCCATTCCACCTGCGATGATTATGACTGTAATCGTATTGACTAACATTTTTGGGTGGCTAAAACCACTGACCGGTGGTCGAATGTTCAGTTTGGCCCGGCCCACGACTGGGGAAAACTCACCCAATTGGGCACGTTTGTCAGTTTCATCTCTGTGATTATGAATGGTCGATCCCTAGGAAATCATTCCAAATTTCCTGTTCGGGATTTCATGCCCTATGAAGAATTATATAAGCCTTGTGCCCTGTTCTGGTTCTTAAGGACCAAAAACTCCTGGTTTTCTCATTAAGCAACTCTTCGTCTTGTCGAAACAATTCGAGCAAGGTGGTAAGACGGTTAGAAATCATATCCATTCATATCCCATTTGCCTCGATTCACCTTTTGAGTGGTACCAGCCTAGCCTTGCTGATTGGTTATCACTGCGCAGTCGGTTTTGAACCCGTGGAACCCAAAAGGAGGTATGTTACCGAAGAACCAACTCTGCAGGAACTCTTCGATGCCCTGAGAGAACCATGTTTTTGGTTGTTTCCTAGAATCGAAGGGAATACACAGGAAAATCCCATAAAATCCCCATATGTGAATATATTTGATGCTGCATTCCATTGGTTTCCCGTGACAATTCAACAAAACAAAACAACCTAAAAATATTTGATGATATTTATTTTTTTGCCTAAGAGAAACATTTATGTTCTGTGTTTCAGGCTCCAAGATAGACCCCCACGAGATTGAGGCTGGGCAGAAGCGCGGAGGGATCTCCCCGCGCGTTCCTTTGGTGGACGCAGGGGAGCCCAGAAGAGTCTTGACCAACTCATGGGGATTCAGCCATGGGAGACATGGGAATGGAAGCTGCCTCCCTGTATTGGTTTCGGGGGCCCCAGGCCCATAATCCTACATCTCTTGCATGGTTGAGACATTCCGGGGTATTCCTGTGATGAAACGAGTGAAAGCACCAGCCCAGTCATGATGGTTGAAAGTTGAAAGATGTTGAAAGTTTCTGGTTGTGGGGGTACGACTTGAGAATTTGGTGTTCAAATTCAGATCCTAGTGACATTTTGCGAAGTGCAGTGGTGAATGTGGGGATCCCTGACAGTCAATCCAGGAGTTCTAGGCAGCTGTGGCTCTTTTTAAGGCACCCATGCCACTACGATAGCTCAGTTGCTTGAACAAACTGGGTGAATTCTATGAATTCTATGGATTTGGGCAGATACAACTGTAGGATACTTGTTGGTAATCGGGGTCACCCACACTTCGGGGGCCACATTTGAAAGACGAGGCGCAATCTCATCCATCCAAGTCCATGTTCGCAGCAGCCAGCGAGGCGCAGACCATGATGGGAAAAAGATCATACCATCAAGTTCATTTCCAAATGGTTCTCATGTGGATTCCAGTTTTTTTTTGGCGGGAGCGATTAGGAGCTATGAGTCTATGACTGGTTGGTGGTTTGGAACATGAATTTAATTTTTCCATTGGGAATGTCATCATCCCAACTGACTGGTATTTTTCAGATGGGTAGGTATACCACCAACCAGGTTGAGTAATGATCCAGATTCCACAACATGGGAAGCCAAGGAGCTGCAAATAGACTTTCCCAGCGAGTTTCCCCCTGGGCCACGCTGCCTATGACATCCCATGACATTGCAGGATTTGGGTGGTGATATGTATCCCAATTTAGGTTGGTTTCAGTTTCAATATGTTTCAATTTATCCTATTTCAGGTGGTAAAACTTCCGTTCTTGGTGTTTCAGTGAGCTTCAGCTCCTATTTCAGGTGGTCGAAAAGAAACCTATTGGTGGTTGTTAAACTCCTATGCTTGGTGATTCATTTCCCATTTTAGGTGGTTAAGCTCACGTCGGTCACGTCGGTGAAGCTCCTGGGAACCACTGGTTGAACTCCCGGTTTTAGTGAAACTTGTTGCTTTCTTAGGCGCTACACGCAGGGCAATAAAAAAGAACAACCTAGACATGATGCCAAGGTCAAGTTACACCACAGGGTGGTTCAAAAAAACACCGTAAACCCAAGTTCACCTAGTTTGTTCCAGCAACTTAGCTAACAAAATCACATTAAAACATAATGAAATCACACTCAAATCACCAATAAAATCACCAATAAATCACCATTCAACCCTATTAAATCGCCGTTTTGGCTGGTGGCAACTCCCCCAGCCCCAGTGTTTCGGCGCCAGGACGGTACAGTGCAACTCTGGTCCTTTGGCCGCCGGCTGCTGCGGCAATTGTGCGGTTGCTCAGGACTGGGAACTGATTTGGAGTGTTTTTGGTGGTGATTTCATGGGAATGAGATATAATGGGATTGAATGGTAATTGTATGATGATTCAATAGGATTTAATGGTGATTTATTTAGATTAATGGTGATTTCATGGGATTCGAGTGAGATTTACTGGGAATCTAGTGGGCATTTGTATAGGTAATTATGTGTATATATATATATATACCAGTGGGAGGAAATCCACTACAATAGGGAATCGATTCAGGGGAATTGTTTTGGGGTGGGTTCCTTACCTTAAGCAAAGCCAAGCTGATTTGGAGTTGTTTGGTGGATTATCGCGGAATATTATGGATTAATGATAATATGGATCTAGTATGGTTTGATATGGATTACCATGAGGATCCATGAGGGGATACCACATTTAATTGTGAATTATCAATGATGAATCAAATGTAAGGATATCATCGGGAAATGATGGTTGATTGGCCGGTTTTATTTTCATTACCTGGGATCGAATATAAGATAACCCAAAATATTGAAAGCCATTACAAATCATTGTAGTAAAATATGGCGGTTTTACTAACATAGGGTTTGATAAATTGATTGTTTATTGTCAAATTGAAAAGGGATCATACCAATCCATTATTGGAATGGCTACAAACAAACCGGTAGAACTTGATCGCAACCAGGTCTGTGACACTGCTCAAATGAGTTTTAGGGAGCTAGCAACCCCAGATTCAACCATGAGAGCTGGTGAAAACATGGCTTTGACTGTTTAACCTCTGGTAGTTTTAACAAAAAGCATTGAAAATGGTCATTGATAGTTGATTTACATAGTAAACATGATGATTTTCCATAGTTATGTGAAAATTTACCAGAGGCTAACCTCAATAGATAGGGTCAAAGCAATGAATCAATGGATACCAGGGAACTGCACCCCAAGTGTGGGTCAAAACTATCAACAAGTCATTGACGTACTATCAAAACTTGGGATTTCAGCATGACATGTGACATGGGTGTGACCCTTCGCATTTCTGGGTAAACTCGCAGCGTGGTGGCTGCATGGCACATGGCTGTTGATGTATGCCAAGTTGTGTTGCTTCATCCACGTTCAAGTTGAACCCAGTTTGCCATAGTTTTCCTGAATTGATGGGAGAACAATCTCCAGGAAACCAGGACACCCCTATATGTCGGGGTAAAACACCGCGTTTTTCGATGTTTTTACTCCTTGGAAAAACCATCCGTTGATTCATGGTTTCGAAATGTGTCGAATGTTTCGAACGGCACAGCCACTGGCCCAAGGCCGAGACCGACAGCTGTGGGAGTCAGGCTCTCAGATCTGCAACAGTGGCGTCGCTGGCAGATCCCTCGTGTAAGCTGGAAATTGGAGGAAGTTTGAACTGTAGTGATATGTTCCTTTTGGATATACTTATTTGGCCATTGTAGTGATATACTTTTGGATTACAAGTGATATGTTACTACATTGTGATTTTTTGGCAATACTTGTATTATGTCTTTCTTTCATGTTTGGTGATTTTGGACATGTATGGATATGTTTATTCTTATGAGTAAATGTATTGGTAAATACAACATGACACACCGGAACAGTCAGATGGGTCCCTCATTCGTGGTCGCTTCCAACATGACACGCTTTGTGGAGCAATCTTTATGGATGGCTGTTATTTCTGGAAGTTTTGGGATCGAAAAATCCAAGAACTACATTGACCTCAGGTTGACCCATACCATCTATGTCGTAGCCAATTTCTGTGAGTCAATTGATAGGATAAACCAGATGGAACCAACAAAATGATTTGAATTTGTCTAACAACTCGGGGGAGATATCCCAGTCTTACGCAATTTCGATGGGGTCAGTGATAAACCACGGCAGCCAGACATACCTGGACACAAAACCGCATTTGTGGTTTTGCCGTGGCAAACAACATTTTCTACATCAAACATGGTTGGTTGGAACTTGAAAAACAAACTTGGTATAATATTTATATATATATATATATACAGTACTTGTTTTTATACATATACATGGTACACCATGTCGGTACACTATGTTGGTTGTTGAATTCTCTACACCAAAACAAGTATATTATTACTCAGTCTGAAACTTGGTCACATATACTTTACTCTTTCATACCTGCTTGCTTGTGATCCCAAAGCCGAAAAAGCCCCTCACCATAAAAAGTGCATCGGCAGCACAACACCCTATAAAAAGATGCATTCTAGCCCATATTACTGGTTAGTTATTCCAATATCCCGATACTATAATATACTATAGTATATTATAATATACTATAGTATACTATAATATATTATAGTATACTATAATATGCTATAATATACTATAATATACTATAATACCCTATACTATAATATGCTATACTATAATATGCTATACTATAATATGCTATACTATAATATACTATAATATCCTATAATATACTATAATATACTATAATATACTATAATATACTTTAATATACTTTAATATACTAGAATATACTAGAATATACTATAATATACTGTAGTATACTATAATATACTACAATATACTACAATATACTACAATATACTTTAATATACTATAATATACTATAATATACTATTGATATACTATAATATACTTTGAAATACTATTAATATACTATATTTTACTATAATATATTAATACACTTTAATACACTTCAATATACTATAATACACTTTAACATACTATAATACACTATAATATCCTATAATATGCTATTATATACTTTACTATACTATAATATACTATAATTTCTACTATAGTTATGTATTCCAATACCCATCCCATCAATATCCCAATACTATAGTTATACCACAACTAGTTCCTGACCATAAATAGCCCATATAACTATAGTAATATTTAAATATACCATAACTACATAATTCCTGTGTATCTTTAATCAATGGCCATTTCGGGAACCTAAATTGGAGGTACCTACCATAAGGCCTATTTTTCAGGCAATATCCCCACAAAATATGGTCAAAAATATGGTACTAACGTACCTCCATTTTAGGATCCTGAAAGTCCCATTGATTTAAGTTATGCGGACCGAGGCCACACGACAGGCTGGCCCTCAAGGCGCCTGCTGACCTGGGTCGACGAAAACAGGTGCTTTTTCCGGACCCAAATAGATGGTTGGTAACGGAAAACCGTATTAAAATATGGATGAGTTGGGGGTATATAGAGGTATCATGAGGCATCTTGTGTAGGAAAGCCCACAATTGTAATCATGGAGATGAATACACCTGATTTTCTATGAGGACAAGCCTGTAGATTTACAATCATGGTTTAATGCAGCTTTTGTTTGACCATATTTTTGGCAACAAACAAATCATTTTGAATTTGGATTTGAACAGATACATGTTCAACCCCTTAAAAGGGTTGAATTGCATGTTTGTTACAGTTGTAAACACAAGACATCCTTACTGGAGAGGTTCAAACATTATATATATATATTATTATATACATATGTATATATATATACTCTTTATATATACATTATCTTGAGGGGTGAGGATTTGTTTTTTCACATGGTTCTTCAAGAACCGCAGCTTACCTCGCCACACAGATCGAGAAACCGGCGCATCTGGATCTGGACGTTGGCAGCTGGTGGGAATGCTGAGATTCACCCATGGAGGGCATATATATATAGTATATATATGGAAAACCACCATACTATTAATGGGTAAATCCACTATAAATGGGCTATATATATATGGGCAAATTATGGTTAGTAAGAGGAATCATCCCAAAATGGCCGCAAGATTCAGGTTAGTGAAATATTATAATTTACCCAGATATATATAATTTTACATTAAAATGCTACATTGACTACATGTTGTAAATATTGTATGTATAAATATGTATAATGATTTATGTACATGGCTTCCAGCCACAGTCAGTAGGCCAGTGGGTGAAGTTCTGTGGGAAAGAAGACCGTGGTTGGAGGCAATGTCCACGGTACAGAAGCACCCTTAGAAACAGAATAGTAACAATGGATATATATATATATATCCTACGTTGTAATAGTGGGTTATCATACTAATATTCCAGTGCCTGTGAATCCATATACCTACTGAATACCAGATGTAATTCATATATTAAACCCATCATTACCCTCTGGCAAACATACAAAAAACGATGGAAAACCACCATGCTATTAATGGGTAAATCCACTATTTCTATGGTCATTTTCTATGTCACAAACTCTTTGTTTACCATATATATATATATATTCATTAAACCTGATTTTTATATATATGTATATATCATTAGACTGTTATACTTTACCCAGATATATGGTAATTTCATATATCCAGATATATTGGTTTAGTTATAATTTACCATATCCATATATATATATTCATTAAACCAATATCTCTGGGTAGAAAACCCACTCATCACGACCCAGCCTTCCCTCCACTTCCCTCCACTTCTCGACCGAATCCATGGGATTTCCGGGGAATCCCCGGAACCGTTGCCGTAAGTGGAATGAATTCAGGCCAGTGAGAAAAATATAAGAAAATATAGCATTAATATACCATGAATTTACTATAGTATTTCCAGTGAAATATGAAAAATCACCAAAATAAATGGAGGCTTCAAGCTGGGAAAATCATCTATAAATGACTAAATCACTATTAAATGGAGGTTTCTAGCTGGCAAAATCATCTATTTCTATGGGCCATCTATACCATGGCGAACTATTAAATAACCAGAGGGTACTCTGAAGAATGGTATGTCATCCACATTAATGGTATATGAATGGTATATTAAATTGTATATATTCATACTCATTTACTCTGAATAATGTGATATGTAATGGGATAATGAATGGGATACACATTTATAATGGGACAATAATGGGATAATGAATACCAATTTTAATAATTTAACATAGCTATTGAAAATTGTCCATTTATAGCTGATTCACCCATAGAACATGTGATTTTTCCATAGTTATGTTAGTTTACCAGAGGGTATATAATGGGATAATGAAGGGGATACACATTTATAATGGGATGATGGTGGGATAATAATGGGATAATTAATACCGAGTTTATTGATGGGATAATACTGATAGTGGGATAATAATAGGGAATGGTATAATAATAATGAATAGTAACAATAATGATAATTCGAAATGGATAAGCATGTCATACTTAATAATACGAATCAACGTGACGACACAGCAAGCTGTGGAAGCTTGTCACGTCCAAAAATACTACTATTCATTGAATAAGCGGTTAGAAAGCCTTATAGACAGCCTTATTTATGGAAATACAATGAAATTACATAATAATACATATGTCTTTTCGATGAAATTGGCTCGTGGCATTTCTATCCTCTTTGATGGAAATTATGTAAGTCTCAGATACCAGTTGTTCAGTTGTTTCTCGGCACATGCACAAAGCAGTCACTAAAAGAAGCCATCGAAAGAGGCAGACTGACCTATTGTTTTGAATGTCGATCAGAAGATGGTAAACCTTAACTAATTAATGGTAAAACATAGTAAAATTATGTAGTCTTGTTTGTTTGGAAATGTATGCCGGTTTGGCTCAACAATACATTACCTCAACACATGGACAGAGTAAGTACTGAAAATGACTGTTTTTGCAGGTCCCTTAATATCCCAAGCTTGAGCCGTAAACCGTTCGGGCATATGTCGGGTGCACGGGCGCACGTATTGAACAGTTTCAGCGCTTCTGTGTGAATCATATTTACTGCCACTACTGCTTCTGCTACTACTACTACTACTACTACTACTACCCCTACTACTACTACCCCTACTACTACTACTACTACTACTAGTACTAGTACTAGTACTAGTAGCAGCACTAGCACTAGTATCAGTAGCAGGAGTAGTACTAGTACTACTACAACTACTGCTACAACTACTAGATACTAGTACCAGCAATACACCAGCAATACCACCACCACTACCACTACTACCACTATTGCTGCTACATGATTCTGGATCTGTTGATCCAGGAAGCCGGGTGGATTTTCTTCCCTATGAATCCCAGAATTGGATGAAGAGAATTGTACATGTCCCCATTGAATTACCCAAAAAAAAAAGTGTTTTCCTGGTGTCCTTCAATTTGCCCCTCAAACCAACCCCATGAAAGCCAAAGTGATGTAGCACCCGATTCATCTCAAACCATCCTAGCTGCAAGGTCTTTGAAGGGAGTACGTTATTATCATAAGCACAAGCAAATCTGGTTGGTGGTTTGGAACATTTTTTATTTTCCCATATACTGGGAATAATCATCCCAACTGACGATCTCATAGTTTTCAGAGGGGTAGGTATACCACCAACCAGAAATGGATTTTGATCCCCAAAGTTGAACATCCAAAAAAAATGTGGCACGAAGATTTTTCAAAATAGCTAGTAGCATAGCTAGAGATCTACCCTTTCCATTCATTGGGGATCCCCGTTTGTCAGCCATTGCTTGGGTACATGTTCCTCATTTTTTCCCAAATGATAAGGGGATACAGGGGGTTCTACTACCAAATGACCATTGGTGATTTTCTCATTATATCTCAGTATGTTGTAAATGTTCGTAGTTTGTATAATACTGGTTGGTGGTTTCACACATTGTTTATTGTCCATAATATATGGGTTGTCATCCTTCCTATTGACTTTCATATTTTTCAGAGGGGTTGAAACCACCAACCAGTTATATTATTCATTAGATCAGGTATTAATCACTAATAACCACTATTAACCACTATTAATCACGATTAACCATGGTTTTTTAACCACCAACCAGAATAATTTTGTTTGGTTAAATTGAATATCAATCTAAATGAATTATTCGAAAAAAAAAAATCATGGTTAATTCAATACGGTCATGAATATCTTATGGTTGCCATTTGTAGGTTATAAATCCATGCCGGTTGTTTTAGTTCTTTTCACAATATCCAGTCTAGTTAAACCCAAACAATATGTAAGACATGTGTTTGTTTAAACACAAAAACTTGGTTGTAAAGCCACTAATGTGGTTAAAACCATAATAAACCATTCCCAAATGAGTTGTTTACGGCATTGTTTTAACAGAAAACCTGGAAATCTTCAAGATGAGTCTGTCAGCTCCAAGGCCTGGAGTGCATCCGGGCATCGCTTGTTGGCAGCTGGGCGGCCCAACTTCATGTGGATGACATGAGATGACTGAAGAGTGGTTTATGATTACCAGACATGATGTAACCGGCCTGGTAAACTAACATAGCTATGGATTTTATGGTGGTTTAATGGGATTCTATGGTGGTTTAATGGGATCTATATAATGGGATTTAATAGGATTTACACTCTGGTAAACTAACAGCTCGCGAACTGGAAAATCACGATCTTTTTCATAGGTAAATGAACTATGTCTATGTGCCATTTTCAATAGCAGACTGTTAGTCATTACCACAGGGTAAACCAAATGATGGCATCATTGATAGGTGACTTCAATGGTCTATGGACCGTTTATGGACCATGAAATTCAATGGTTTACACCCAATCAGTGGTGTAGATTCAGTGTAGATGTTAACTATGATGGCCTTATTTTTCAGAAACATCACTGGGGGGGGAAGCACCTTGACAAAAGACGGTTTTCTTTACGACCGTGTGGGAGGTTGTTGGTTATAACGATAGTTATGAGACGTTGCATTGTGATTGGTTGAACAACAAGTACTACTGATCAACATAATGAAACATCATCATAATCATGAACATAATTATACTACAATTGTTTGCTGTACTATACCAATGAAGTCAACATAATCATGATAACCTGGGAAACATAACAGAACTTGACAATGGGATGATGGCAATCAGACGACAATCAATACAACTCTATATTGGGATACTCGGGACCCAGCATGTGCTTGCGTTTTTTAGCCAACATATGAGAGTATGAGGTGGTCTGTATGTATAGTCCACTGGGATTTATATAATTGATAATTCCAATTAATTAAAGTATATGTATATATATATGTTTAACTCCAATGATGAAATACCCTGGGGATCCAGATATCTGGATAACAGGATGAATCCCATTTTGAAGCCAGTTTTAGGATATTTTTTGCTGATGCCTAGATTGCAGAATTGTAAAAATGGAGGCTGGTTTATTATCAGATTTACCACAGTACATGGAACCTAGTTCTGAATATGGGGGGGTTCCTAAAATATGGGTACTGTACCCCAAACCATTGGTTTTCCCGTTTATGATAAACAATTTTGCTTGACTTTGGGGTACCCCCATTCAAGTAAACCTCGATAGCCATGTCAACCCCATTCGGCTACCATTTCAATCACTGACGCGCCAACCTGGAGCATAGATATGACAGTAAACGATTTAGGAGGGTAACTTGAGGAGTTACCCTCTGGTGTCATCAAGCGTGGCTGGGAATCCTTCGTTGCGAAATGGGGATTTGAAAATGGACCAGTCCTCTATAAATGGGAAATTGATGGAACGTGTTCATTGCTACGTTTAGTCACCGGAGGGTATTCTTACATGAGAGATGAGTGCACAATGGAGCACTGTAAAACACTTCTGATAGAATCTAGTGATAATGCGAAAGCTGGCTATAGCTTTGTCAAGTCAGTGTAGACAGCCTTGTCAATTGTAGATGACCCCGATATACCCCAATTATCTCAGGATATCAGAGAGATATACCAACATCCCTGATTCATGTCGGCTATCCCAAAGAGGTTCATGTTTTTTGCTAAGGAAAGGCCATCAGATTGTGAAACCGACTCATCACCATTTAAGGGTTTGCTTGATACCATGCGGGATACCCCATTACCATGTTGTGAAGATGATGATTAAAAAAAAGATAGACAAAGACAACAATTATGTGACCTGTTTGTAAGACATCCATTTGGGGAATATACTGCCTGGAATGCTGTGTGTTTTTTCGACTCCCTCGCTGAGTGAAGGTGCAGAGTGCACCTGGTACCTCGAGTGTCGTAAACCTTTGGGCTCTTGAAGGACTTTCTGAACGGATGGCGGCAGGATTTCATCATGGTTTCACCATAGGGATCCCGAAGAGTTGGAATTGTCCCAATAAACCAGGATCCCTATGGTGAAACCTATGGTGAAACCCCCATGATGAAACCCCCATGATGAAATCATGATGGAACCAACCAACCAGGGGAAGGACTCATAGTTTGATCATGATCGAATATCATCGAATATCCGGATGGGATTCAACCATGTTCAACCCCTTTTTTCCGACCGGTAACAAGATGTATCCAGATTGATTGGGGAGCTCACTGAACTCCACTGTTGTGTCAGAAATAGAACACGTCTCAGCGAAAACGAGCGTTCCATCTTGGGATTTCGATCGTTGGAGCTATGAGGTGGACGTCAAATGGCTAAGTTGGTGAAATATAAAACTCCAACAAACTGTTGGCTTCATGATTGATATGACTATATAGCTAGGGATTCATAGGCTTTCCTGAAGCAACAAACCTCACTGAGGTGCCCACCTTGTAAAGTTCTGCTTTTCCCGGTGGTTTCCGATGGTTTTCCAACGTATTTTCATCCGCCTAACACCCCTGAAATGGTTCCAGATTCCCTCTGGTAGACAAACAGTTTGCGACATAGAAAATGGGCCATATAAATGGTGGATTTACCCATTAATAGCATGGTGATGTTCCATCGTTTTGTACGTATGTTTACCATGGGTCTCCAGCAGTGGCGTCATGTAGCGTCGCTGTTCAGGAGATCGACTTGAGGCCACCTATTCCTTGCAGACAGGCCCAATTTGGGGATGCGGCTACGGATAAACGTGGATAAATTCGGAATACTGCTTGATGGTTTGGAACATTTTTTACTTTTTCCATATATTGGGAATTTCATCATCCCAACTGACTTTCATATTTTTGAGAGGGGTTGAAACCACCAACCAGATATGATAGGGATATAATGTGATATGAGTAACCCACAAAATTATTGTAGTACTAATTTGGTTTTGCTTCGCCTTGGCCTTTCTGAGGTTGCAGAAAACGAAAACCTTCATAACCGATAGGGGACGACCCTATACCGATGCCCCATTTGTGATACCCCCGGGAGTACTGAAATCCTCACTCATATAATCATATAGTGGGATATAATTATAATGGTATAGAATGGTAAGTAGTGGTATACAATGGGATAGTGGGATATAGAACCGACGGTACCTAGTTTTGTCTGAAAATGGTGGGAAGGCCACCAATTTTCATGGACTATCATCTCCCAATTTCATGGAATATCATCATTTTCCCATGATACGTGTGAAACTGAAATTTTGGGTGTAGACCCCATTTTCAGACACACCAGCGTAAAAATTACAGTGTCTAAAAGAAGATAGAACAACAGAGGAAAAACATATGAATGGATACCACATGAGAGTCATTCGGAGTCTACTGTTGCCAATTGGATGAACTATATACTGTACTGAAATCATCTGAATTCCTATTTTTCTTTGGCCGTGGATGATTCGATTCTTGATCATAGAGGTGCTTGTGTCCAATTCATTGATAATTTTCAGGTATATCTTGACCCTCAAAGTCGCGATGTAGACGTGTATATGGCTTGTATGTAAACGTATATTTCATGTTTTTTCATGTTTTTGGGGTCAAATGCCAGTGCTTTGTAATTCGAGGCTAAATCGCCTCCCATCCTGTTTCTGGTGATTTCTTGCCCTGCCAGTTGAACCCCCCGGGATGGGACCATCATTCCCTGCATGATTTTGGCTCAGTATTTTGGACTTCGGCGATGTGGACTTCGGTGATCAAGTCAAGTCAAGTCAGGTCAAGCAGCAAAAAAAGTTCGCAGAAGGACTAAGATTTTATGACATCACCGTCTGTTGAATATATGTGAATCAAATCACTGGTATATATTCATCCAACTCTAGGTATTTTTAGGAGGGTTTGGCCCGAACTCTAGGGATTTCTTACAGAAGATCAGAAGGGCAATTGGTGGCTTGCGCCCATGTCAGTTGGGAGCCTTGCTATTGGTTTAAGGTTCAAACCGGGATTCTGGATAATTCTTGTTTGTGGTTATGTGGTTCAAACATATGTGTTTAGATGCAAATTTCATCCCTACCTGTGATAATAAGCCCAATTTGACTTGGTTCAAAGGGCTGAAGCTATCTCAATTTCTATCCTGGTACTTCTGGCCAGTTCTCAAATGGTTCGTTTTTGGCACAGTGGGGAATAGGTCTGGGGTTCATTGATGTGTAATTACACATTGTCCGAAACCTTCAAAAAAACATCGTTCGTACCACACTTCAGATATCGGGCATATGGGCATGTCCTACAAGGTGGGGGGCCCCGAGTTAAAAGTTGTTTATAAAGGCTATTCACGATAATCATATAGGGGGTTCCTAAAATGGGGGTACCCTCAAAATTGATGGTTTATAATGGAAAATCCTATTAAAATTGATGATTTGGGGGTACCCCCATTTTTAGAAAACCTCCATATCTACCGTAAAGCCTGGTTATTAGAATTGTAATTTAACTTAAACATATGTACTGTACTTAAACATACTTTATAAACCAACTAGTATGTAGATATGATAACCCGGGTTATTAGAGTTATAATTTAACTTAAACATACTTAAACATCTAGGGCCCCCCTGCAGACCAATTCTTCGATTCTTGCGACTCGGAAGATAGTCAACCACACCTCCGTTTCGAAACGGCGACTGTCATGTCTGCTTTTGTCGGAAGATGGAACATCGTGGAACAAAAACAATGCAAACCCTCAACAGTTTCCTAGTTGAGAAAATATCTATGCGGTTTATGAGTAGTTCATATATGTTCTGAAGCGTTTTTCATGGCAATTTTATGGTGTACTGGTATTGCCAGTATCCCCAAAATTCATATCTTTGGAGCTGTTTTCAGCATCTCAGGAACCTGCCGAGCATTCATTTGGTGCCACCAAGCAAGGCAGGTCATGGTTGGTCCGAGCCGAGAGTTTTCCAGGGCTTAAATCTGGGATGTCTGGGATGTCTTGCAACGTGATCCAACGTGATCCTGCTTGGCCCTTCAAGCAGCTTTGGGAGGTACCCTCTGGTAATTTAATGTAGCTATTGAAAATGGTCCTTAATAGTGGATTTTCCCCTTAAAAATTGTGATTTTCCATAGCTATGTTAGTTTACCAGAGGGTACCAACTATGCAGAAACATCTCAAGCCATTGGTTTCTACCTTTTGCATTGCTTTGATTTCCAGAGACATATTGAAGATCCAAGATTTGTTTTCCAACTATTTCAGGGAGGTTTGTGCCCATACTCTCAGCTGCTCAAAATGCAAGAGTGGCGTCACTTTTCTGTGACACGTGAGACTTTGAGCACACCATGTTGCACGGTGAGTTATCGCTGACAAGTTCTGCTGCATCAATACTTGGCCCGGAACAGACATGTCCAAAAACAAAAGCATAAGTTTTCTGAGTAGATCAGCACGCACCCCTTCTTTTTTTTCTGGTCTTCATTTAAGCCTCTTGGGGATGGAACATCGTGGAACCATGGCCTGGTGAACTTGTCCACCATGCTATATGCAGCCGAATGGGGCCATGCCATTGGGCCATGAAAAATTGGCAATCAAAACCCAGGAGGCACAGAACATGTGAAGTTGTTAGTTTTTGTTTAAGTTGTGTTTAGTTTTTTTTTAGTTGTTTTGAGTCTTTTCTAAACGTTTTTGTGGTTTGGTGTTTAATGTTTTTTTGGTTAGTGTTTTTGAGTTATTTTATTTTTGTTTAGTGTTTGTTTGGTTTGGGTAGGCGTTTTGTAGTGGTGCTAAGGAGTGTTTAAATTTTGGTAGATGCGTGGTAGTTAGGGCTTAGTTTTGAGGTAGTGTTTGATGGTGGGCAGCTGGTAGATCTGAAGAATGGGTGAGAGTGGTGTGCAGTTGTGGTGAGGTTCAAGAGGCCGGAACAGAGAAAGTTTTCCGCAGATTTTGTTTGAAAAACAAACTGATTGGATATGGGGAAACATGTGGATATGTCTATGTTTTTTTTGATTTCGGTGGGTGGGTGGATGTTTTATTTCGATTTTCCATGGCTTTCTGTATATATTGTGCTTCCACCACGCAGGGCGGCGGTTTGCGACACCTGGGGATCTGCGGTGATGGCCGTGGCTCGCCAGGTGCGACCGGTTGATATACCTGGCAGCTACCTGCTACCTGCGGGCCCCAGTGTAAGATGGTTTACAAAGCCCCAGGAATAGCTATTTCTAAGATGTTACAAGTGTCATGAGACATAGTTATTGAGACTATTTAGATGTTACAACCTGTTACAAGTATCATAAGACATGTGACATAGGTATTGGCTATATATTGGAGCTATGTATTGGCTATATATTGGAGCTATGTTCAGCAACTTAGCTAGACTTTGGGGGCCCCACTTTGTGGAACTGAGAAATTATTTTTGGAAATCCTGGAAATCTGAGAATCATAAATGATGCTTGGTTGATGGTTGATTGGTTATGAAATAGTGGCTTAAAAAACTACTGGGCTTATTGGGGATTATCATTAATTATAACATATTATAACTTATAATTTATGACCATAGATAGAAATATTTACTTTACTAGGCTAATCGGTATTTTTTATGGGATGTGACAGCATTTCACATTTCAAATTTGAAATTTGATGCCCCCTAAATGGTGAATTATGGTGTACTCCATGAAAGCAAACTCTTGGCATAGATATCATGGGGATATAAGTCCGGGTATAGTGGGATTGACCAACGTGATTTTTGGGCGCAAAGTCAGGGACATTTACCTCCAAGTCATGGCCATATGACACCATTTCCACGTGGTGCCACATCCCAGATTGTCCATGTAGTATCATGTAGTATATTAGTACCTTTACCCCAAAACCGATGTTTCATGAAAAATGCTGGACCAAATCACAAACTTGTCGAATTCTTTTCCGGCAGTAGCATCAGTACATCATTTCAAACGGTGACAACAAAAGTCAGAGACAATAGACACAGCTGCGCATCATGTTGAATATGATAGGAAGAAAGTGCAGCACCTGGAGCTTGTCTCAAAATATTGGGAAAGACGGCAAATCCATTGATCATCGTTTCCTATCTATAAAAAATGGCCATAGTTTGGGATATAACATGATAAAACTCATGTGCAGACACACAGCTGGAAGCTATCTCTTGGAAATGTAGTTCAATATATCACCATGGATTCTATGGGATATGGCGTTCCTTACCCAAATTCATTGGTGATGCCTTTCATGTTGTCTGTTGTGATCCTTGGAACTGCCATTTGCGAAATCTTTGAGGTTATTTATCTGTAACAGCAATCCGAAACGAACTATCAAATTTGGGATTGAACATGGTTAAATCCCATCAAAATCCCATCAAAATCTCAAAATTCCCTAAAAGTCCCAGTAAAGTCACATAAAAGACCCATAAAGATCCCGTTAAAGTATCTTAAAGTCCCATTCGAATCTCCAAATTCCACTGCTCCAACCGCGGCTCTCCAGCCTCGCAGGTTCCACTGTGGCGCCCACGGCCGATGACTCGCCGCTCTCACCAGGTGAGAGATGGCTTGGAGCAAGCCATGGTGGATGACACCGGAAGGTATTCATATATATATATGTGTTTTTTTATAAGTATTAATATTAATATTAATATTGATATTGATATTAATATATATATATATATATATGTATATACAGTTTAATTGATCATGTCTAATATAGTTGAAGATTGAATAGATATAGTTTGATATATATAGTTTAACAGTTCATAGTTTGATATAGTGTTGAATACTTCATTTTATTGCCATTTGGATGGGGACATTAACACTCATTAACTCATGAAAACACTAACCAGGTAAAAATATGCTTTGTTTCCAGGGTGGCCAAATTGGCCAACCAGAAAACCTGATAAAATCATCTCCAGTATGTCAATTTCTTGATCTGAATATGAGGAACTTGTTGCTAAACTGAGAATATTTCAAGAGTATATTAGTATATATATACATATATTATCATATTATTGATATGTTCATGAGAATATATTGATAATTCTTTGTTCTTGCTAAGGTTTTTTTTGTGGCAGAGTATCCAACATTGAACAATTAGCATGTCAAAAGACTCTCTGGCGACCTGGCTGGAAAAAATATATGCCGCATGACCCTCAATCCATAAATTATGGCGAATTGCCTCATAGTTTTAGTACTTTTACATATAAAATACCCCTTTTTTTTGGCCAGTGCTGATTTAAATGGTGTTTTACACACTTTTGACCAATGTTTCATGAGTCAACTGAGAGTGCATCGAGGTAGATATCGAATCATTCGCTGGATAGCTTGAACACAGGCCGTTGAGGTACCAGATCTACCTGTTGAGTTGGCCCTGGAGGTACCAGATCTCCCAATCTTCACAAGCAGGAGGCATTTTGTTCAGCTTCCCAAACATATTGATATATATATATATACATATCATATATATGTTCACTTGATTTAAGGAAATCTAGAGTTTTACCTTACCCAATCATTTGACGCAAAAACAGAACATGATGTTCTGCACTTGTTACCAGCACCCTACCAATTCCCCAAAAATTGGATAGTATACTATTTTAATCACCAAACTATGTTCAAAACGGATTTCAGATGGGATTTTACCCAAACTATCTTCTTGGGGGTTGCAGCCAAATGAGCAGTGGCTGCTAAAGCTCTATTGGTTGATGACTATAGGGGAGGATACCATTTTTTGTTGGGGATGATCACAATCCATGAATGTGGAATCCCGGGAATCCCGTTCTCAACCAACCAATATGTATATACAAAGGGACGACATTTCGGGGTTTGAACACGGCTCAATGGCAATTGTTTGATGGTGGGAAAATGATGGAAGACGCTCTGGAAGACCATCAAATGTGGGTAGCTTTTCCCAAAAAAACATCCAACAGCTTGGGGACTTGGGGTTGCAAATCCATGTTCCCCTGAAAGAAGTTGATTTTCACAAGCCATTTCATCACCTTCAACTAAACAAATCCATTGTTCCCTAAGTTAAGAGACGTCAAGTGGCAGGCTTTGGAAGTCAAAGCCCAACGCCAAGATCCAGAAGGCACACATGTTTGATCATTTTTGTCTTGGATGGACAAAAATGGGATGATAGTAATTGATCCATGAACTATCATCATGGGACTATCACCATCAATGGATCATAGATTATCATCATAGACTATCACCATTAATCATAGTATTTAATATGCTACAAATGGATAACACCATGGGACTATAACGGGATGATAGAATAATTAAAATAGGATAAACTGCTCATCTAAGAACTGGTGATCTCGCAACCATCCACATTTTTTAGGAGGTTGAATGGGTCAGAAATGATCGATAGACGGTGGATGTTCCATATGTATCCATATTAACGATAGTGGGACACTTGACTCGATGGAATATCACTTGATACAGTGGGACACTGGATACTGGAATACTTCGTGGCCATGGTATAGATGGCCCTAATCGAAATAGATGATTTTCCCAGCGAACTAAACCTCCATTTATGGTGGGGATTTTCCAGTTCGCTATGTTAGTCATAACCAGAGGGTAAATTCTCATATTTCACTGGAAATACTATAGTAAATTCATGGTATATTAATGGTATATTAATGGTATATTAATGGTATATTAATGTTAAATAACCAGATGGTAGTGCGTTTCATGGGATGAAAAAAACACCCAGCTCGTTAGACATGTCTTCGTTGCTCGGGGTTGCTCCGGCGGATCCACCCGTAGTATTTACACCGTTGCGTTCCCCACTGGCTTTCTGGTGCCGTTTGAGCAAGCCTGGCAATGTGAATAAATTTTATGATAAATAATGATAAATATCATATCATATATGTTGATCATTCTTGGTCTGGGTGAACAACATTTTACAAAAATCCCACATTTGAATTGGTCCACGCAAATCATTATTGCAGGAAAAGACACGTGTCATTTATATCGGTCGCAACCACCAACATGTAGAGATCTAATTGATAAATGATGTTTTTTATCATTGGTTTGATGGTTGGTTGGTTTGGAAATAGTTGCGGTTTAACCTACACCCCACGCCGTTTATTCAAGTTGCAACCCATTTCATTGAGATACTGATTAGCTAAATGTAAGCAATCCGTATTTCATGGGATGTGATAGGGGGTCTTGTTCAGGGCTTAATTGGTTAGTACCCCCTTGATAGCTAAAGACAATTTCACAGATGGATTTGTGGGTCAATTGAGGGTCAAGGTATTTGAATATGGTTTCGTTCTCAAGACAGTTTGATTGTGACAGTTTCTATGATTTACATGTGTCCCATGTTTTTTTGCTCATGTTTTTGCTAGCGAGGGGAAAACCGGACAAAATTGTTCATTGTTTTTGCTGGGGTAGGGTGAGGTGGGGGGTGGTGGGATGGGGTGGGCTATTAACTTTTATGCTCACTTGCACACTATCTTTATGCTACGTTACCAAGATCTTCTCTTGCACTTGCTAACTATTTTTATGCTACGTTAACAACACTTGCATACAACAGAGTGTGGTGGGGTGGGAGGTGGGGGGTGGAGTGGGCTATTGACGTTCATGTTCACATGCGCACTATCTTCATGCTACGTTACCAAGATCTTCTCTTGTACTTGCTAACTATCTTCATGCTACGTTACCAAGATCTTCTCTTGTACTTGCTAACTATCTTCATGTTACGTTAGCAAGATCTTCTTTTGCACGTGCCAAGTATCTTCATGCTACGTTAAGAAGATCTTCTCTTGCACTTGCTAACTATCTTCATGTTACGTTAGCAAGATCTTCTTTTGCACGTGCCAAGTATCTTCATGCTACGTTAAGAAGATCTTCTCTTGCACTTGCTAACTATCTTCATGTTACGTTACCAAGATCTTCTCTTGTACTTGCTAACTATCTTCATGCTACGTTACCAAGATCTTCTCTTGTACTTGCTAACTATCTTCATGTTACGTTAGCAAGATCTTCTTTTGCACGTGCCAAGTATCTTCATGCTACGTTAAGAAGATCTTCTCTTGCACTTGCTAACTATCTTCATGTTACGTTAGCAAGATCTTCTTTTGCACGTGCCAAGTATCTTCATGCTACGTTAAGAAGATCTTCTCTTGCACTTGCTAACTATCTTCATGTTACGTTAGCAAGATCTTCTTTTGCACGTGCCAAGTATCTTCATGCTACGTTAAGAAGATCTTCTCTTGCACTTGCTAACTATCTTCATGCACTTGCTAAGTATCTTCATGCTACGTTAAGAAGATCTTCTCTTGCACTTGCTAACTAATCCTCATGCTACTTGCTGACTATCTCCATGCTACGTAGCCATGGAGAGGATCAAAAAGGGATCTTACTTGGTGACTGATGGTGCAAAGGCATGCGCCTCCTTGTCAAAGACACGTCAAAGACATACCAGTTGAAACATGAGGAGGTGAATCACGCTGCTGGAGAATTTGTTTGCTTGAAGGATGAGGACCAAAGCCAGCTTTGAGTGTGCACACAGGTGGTATCCATTGCACGTGGTAGAAAATCAAAGATAAGCTTCCACCGGGCATTCATAACAGAAAGAAAGGCAAGATCAACAAAGATCTGATGGCCTATGTGCGGCAATGGCAATGGCGCTCAAAGCACCGCAGGGACTGCGTGCTGCGAGCGACTGCCAAGCAACTGAAAAGCAAGCGAAGAGCTGAGTGTAAAAAGTGAAGTTGACCGACAAAGTGTTCCAAAACTGTGGTGAAACGCGATTTGTTCAAAAAAACATGCTGATTTTGGATAATAGTTTGAGCCTAAAAGAACAACTTTAGCTGACAGGCGCATGGGGTTGCGACTTTCAATGTTGAAAATTCCGTCCAAGGTTCCGGGCTACCAGGGTGTTCCATTCCGATTTTTAGGGCGACCCAGGGTGATACAGAGCTGGAGACGTGACTCCAAGATGTCCGAAAAGTGTTTCTAGATATATAAGAAACATATGGAATGATAAATATAGTTTCTATGAATAAGAATATGTTTATTCAGGGATATATTTGAGGTCTTTAGCTCTGTGTTTACCTCTACTTAGACTTATAGAATCCAAAAGAAGACAAATGCCTCATAATAATAATCAGTCACATGGTTTGGTGGAAAATCCATCATTCAAAAAAATTCTTCGCTGATGTTCCCAGTTATAAACATCAATTTAGGTCGTGTCTTTTCCCAGATGTTTTCCCATTTTATCCTATGATTTTGTCCATATCTTCCAGGATTCCATAATGTGTTCAAACAAAATCCCATTTTCTGATCATTTTCCCATCGTTTCCCCATCATTTTCCATGGTTTTCCCCCATATTTTTGACCTTTCCGGAGGCCCTCAGTGGACCTCCGGGAACTGGAGCCCAAGGAGAGCCCAGGCCCTTTGCGGGGCCTCGGGAAGTGTGGAACGGTAAGGAAAATCCCATGGAAAATGCAATGGTCATAGTTTGGGTTATAGTTATAGTATGCTGTAGTTCTAGTTATAACCCATTGTTATAGTTCCTACTTGTAGTTTGGGATGTGAACATCGTGTTCCTTTTGGCAAGGAAGGCATGGTGATTGTTGAGAGTGATTTTGTGAGAAGACATAGTGGGAATTATATTTACAAAGCTGTAATATATAGATATGTGTAGATATATATATATATAGTTTAATTGTAGGACCAAATGTTTTCCCGCTAGCATCAAAAAAAAATCAAAACTTGTCATTTCGGGGATGCGTTGAAACCACATATCCCAAGACTTGAAGTGGGAGAACATCCTAGCATCAGTTGATTGTACCAATATTGGTTCAGTAGCGAACCATGGCTTATGACCACTAGGTGATTGGTGTTCTACTTCATGGCGATATGTACTCCAAACTCCGACGCAGATGAGAGCACTTACGAAGGTTCACAGCCATCGTCACTTCAGCGAGTCGTGTACCAAGTGTACCCAGTTAAACGTGCGTAATCCAGTAAACCGGAGAAACAAGACACATCTGATTTACCCAATTCTACTTTCAATTCCACACGTTTTTTCTTGAATCCATACCTCAAATAAGGGATAAACTGTTTGGGGTTTGCCACTTTGAAGTCACAATACATGGGATGCCCATCCAGTCACTAGTTGGTTTTCCGGTACAGTAATTGATCAAGATATCACATTATATAATTTTAGGAACACTTATTCCAATCATAGGATAGTTTGGTGTGCATCCCAGTTAGTAAATTGCTAATTCTACAACTATCTGAGACTTTTCTCCACCTATCTATGTATGTAATCCAATCTAATCTACACTCTAATCTAATCTCAAATCTATTCCAATCTGTATAATAACCTATCTATATGATACTATGTAATTGGAGAATACATTACATGTGTATATACTCATGAGTATATTTAGATATACATATAATATCATATAATATGATATGTCACACTTGGCAAGATCATTATATATGAGATAGTAAGTGCCCCAAAGATAGAAATGTCAAATCCTCTTAAAATAGGGATGGATTACGTTTCCTTGTTTTTTTGTTTGACCATATATCTTGTGTTATCCACATGATATCCATTTTAGTTCGATGATTTTCCCAGCTATAAACCTCCATTAAGTTTGTAGGTTTCTCAATATTCCCTATATCCTTTGGTTATTCAAGATAGCTGTGGAAGATGGCCCATTTAGAGATGATAAACATTATGATTTACCTTCTAAACATTGCTGTGTTCCATAGCTACGTTAAATAACCAGATGGTCTTTTTCCATATGTTTCATGGTTCTACCATCATTTTCCTGTGTTTTGCCATGATTTTTATGCCAACTATATATCCATCTTCATGTCCCACCAGGCGATGTGTCCTCGGTCAGCACGGACTTCGAGGACCGTCATGGATGTAAATACACTAATATTGTATAACAAACCACATATACATATATACACATACAATATGTAGTGTATTGAATATAATATATATATATATATTGAATATATACATATATACTGTATATGTATAATTGTACATATGTGTGTGTGTATTGTTATATAAACAGAATAATAACAATGGATAATAATCTGGGTAAATTATAACGACCTCACTGTTCTCCCGAACCCTGGAATCATGATTAGATTGTGGGATATCATCCCCATATGGCCGCAAGGTTCAGGCTAGTGAAATATTATTGTTTACCCAGATATTATATATACACACATGTGCATGTATATGTGTGTATATGTATATGTATATGTAATATATATATATATTCAGCCATCCCGTCTTTGGTCTAGATCAGGCATGGTTTAGATCAGGTGGGTTTTTGAAGGAAAACCGATTTTTCTTTTAAATCATTTTGGGGCAGATATTGAGGAAAATGGGGGCAATATGGGTTCCCGTTAAGCATAACGAGGACGCTTCAAAAGGAAGTGCAAAATAATGATTCAGTTTCAGTTTACTTTGGCTAAATGACAAATATATCTATATATATGTGTGTGTGTGCATGTATACATGTATACACGTATGATGGTTATGAGGGCTGGTTTCTCAATGTGTCTCAATCAAGATGAAAAATAGTAGGATCTCTTACAAATGATCTGAACATGTTAATGTGTGAATGGCAATTCTCCATAGTAAGATAACCTTCAATGGCAATTTTCAAATAAGATAGTCGTCCAAAGGAAATATGATGTTTTTGTTTGATTTCGGGCTGGGCAGTCCCCGGTCTCTGCTGACTTTGGTTCGCCAATCGTGAAGTGAAGGCTTTGTTACAACAAAACCATAGCAGTTGTTAGGAGCTGCAAGGTATCTGCTGCCCCCAGGACCAAACTTTGCACGATGCTCTTCAGGAGTCATTTGTAAGCATCGGGTGTGTTTTCTGATTCGTGTGTACGCTTAGGAAGTCTGGGTCGTAAATCATTAAATGGGTATCATGAGGTGATTTTTTGCTCAGTTGGGACAATCTAACCCCTTCAAGTATCGCAATGCCGCTTATTAAGTTCAGGGATTTCAACATGAGGTGCGAGTGGGTCAGGGGCTCCACTGGTTAGTACTTTGATAAAATTCGGAACCCCCCAGTTGTTCAAGACTATGAGGAAGTGGGGATGGATCGCTACCAATAAAAGATACCCTCCAGTACACTAACAGTTTCCTGTCGAAAACGGAGCATTTATAGCAATTTGCCTACTAAAATTCATAATTTTCCGATTTCCATAGCTATGTTAGTTTACCAGAGGGTAATTCTTAGAGGGATAAACATCCCAGCGACATCCCAGCTATGCAGCCCAGGTCGCTGGATTCCATGACGGGTGCCTGCAGTCGCCTGCGTGGGGATGATATGGTCAGTGCCACTCAACTGTAAGATTTGCTTCAGGATTTGGGCTGGGTCATGTAATCCTTAAGATATTCAATGGTATTCATGTATCATTGTATCATTCATAAATTTCATACTCATTCCCTGTTACACTACATCATTTCATCAAAAAATCCGGCATACTGAAAAACGAACATTGAAATGGCCAGTGTTTCCTGAGTCGATGTGCAAACGTGGTTTCTGGAACTTTGAATGGCGCGGCGCGACATCACGCGAGGTGATCGAAGAGGGCGAAATGACTGTGGCGTGGCAGCGATTTCCAGTTTCAGGGCATTGGCCTGGCTATTTTTTCGTAAACAATAGGGGGTTGTTTGAACAATAATGGTACCAACTTTTCAGGGTCTATGAGAATTTCGAAACATATCTTAAAGCCATGACATGCAAAAATATCATGATTATCATGGTTCATGATACCCTCTGGTAAACTAACATAGCTATTGAAAATAGCAATCTTCAATAGTTGATTTCCCTATAAAAGATGGTCGAAGGAAGTTTAGAAGTCAAACTTCCGACAATATGGACAGACGAAAAGCAGTGGGGGGAAGAGTCAGAGAAGAGAAGAAAAGAAGAAAGAAGATCAGGGAAGAGAAAGAGTCAGAAGACAGAAGATGCAGGTGCGCGAAAAGGTAGCAAAGTCGCACAACACTGTGTTTTTCCAATGATTTGTGGCTCCGGAGGGTCGAAAAGTAAGCTTGCTAAAGCGGCGGGTGCGGAGCCATGTATTAGAGATGAAAAGTTGCACGCCGTTGTGGGGCGAAGCACATTTCCAAGTCAAAATGTACAAAACACACCAACGTCGGACCACTTTTGGAAGTTGTGATGTCGAAAATGTGCACGCCGTTGTGGCGCGAAGCACATTTCCAAGTCAAAATATACAAAACACACCAGGTTCGGGCCACTTTTGAAGGTTCAGATGTGCTTTTGTGTGGCAGGCGCAAGGGGTTCTGCACCTTGCCAGCGCTTCCAAAAACGATGGCAGGCGTGGGACATTTGCAGAGCATCTGCGAAGATGCATGTCGCGTGGCCGGCGCAGTACAAGAGACATGTTCATCAGAGATGTTAGGAGGTCAGGGCGCTGATTTCCTGAGAGGGGTTGCATTTTGGAGCATCAGATTTTCAGTTTTGGGAAGATGATTTTGCGCCACAGGTGCAGCACTTCGTATGACCTGGCAGCCATTTTTCGTGGCAGGCGCAGTACTTTAGACAGCTGGAGTGATAAAATCACAAAACGCATTGGTACGAGGCCATCAGCTCATTTCTGATGCTGTCAACTTCGAATATTGAGGAAGTCCCGCAGACTTGTTTCGTTTTTGATGTTGTAAAGTTCAAAAATTGAGGAAGTCTCGCAGAATAGCTTCGTTTTCAAACTTGCAGGTAGGTAGATCGATCGATCGATAGATATAGATAGACAGACAGATAGATAGATAGATAGACAGACAGATAGATAGATAGATAGAGAGAGAGATAGATAGAGAGATAGAGAGATAGATAGATAGATAGATAGAGATAGATAGAGATAGATAGAGTAGATAGAGATAGATAGAGATAGATAGAGATAGATAGAGATAGATAGAGGTAGATAGAGGTAGATAGAGATAGATAGAGATAGATAGAGATAGATAGAGATAGATAGAGATAGATAGAGATAGATAGAGATAGATAGAGATAGATAGAGATAGATAGAGATAGATGGAGATAGATAGAGATAGATAGAGATAGATAGAGATAGATAGAGATAGATAGAGATAGATAGAGATAGATAGAGATAGATAGAGATAGATAGAGAGAGATAGAGAGAGATAGAGAGAGATAGAGAGAGATAGAGAGAGATAGAGAGAGATAGAGAGAGAGAGATAGATAGATAGATAGATAGGTAGGTAGGTAGGTAGGTAGATAGTTAGATAGATAGATAGACAGATAGATAAACAGAAAGACAGCTAGATAAACAGATATATAGATAGACAGATAGATAGACAACTGTAACTGCAGTACACCACACTACAACTACAACTACAGCTTCAACTACACTTCAACTACAACTTCAACTTCAACTACGCTAGTTACTACAAGAGCAATTACCACGACACTACACTACAACTACAACTACCGTTACAACTACAGTTACAACAACAACAACAACAACAACAGCAACAGCAACAGCAAAAGAAACAGCAACAGCAACAGCAACAACAACTACTACTACTCCTCCTCCTACTCCTACTCCTACTCCTACTCTTACCCCTACAACTATTGCAACTGCTACAATTAAGGCAATTACAACTTCAACTACGCTACAACTACAACTACAACCACAAGTGCGACATTACAACTTCAACAACATCAACCCCACTACAACTACGACTGCTACTACAACTCTACAACTACCGCACTACACCACACTACATCCAGGAGTTGTGAGTGAGGTGACCACTGCAACCATTGCAACCTCTCCAAAAAACACAACTCCAACCACCTTTCGGTCCATCAGTGGATTCGCTCTGCCATCCATGCATCACAACAACTCACCTCTCCTATAGCGCAGTTTGGCAATCGCCACAGGGTAAGTGTCTCTTCCAAATGAAAAAAAGACTGCGGAGAAGCCAACGAAGATGCTTTCCAAGGACCCCATGTGCAACCAATAAGTACCTATATATGAACCAATGACATCCTCGTAGTACATTGAGTCTTAACCGGCTCAACCCATTCAAATTTGGTTATGTAAGCATATGTGCCCCGTAATCGTAGTACTTAGAGACCTATTTTCATGTCGAGGGTCAAGGTATCCACCATGTAGCCTTACCTGGTAGGGGCCGAAAGGCGAGCGGTTTATGCCAACGATTCATGTTTTCCCTTATAGGTCCAAAGGAAAATTTTACCAGAATCCCATTCTGAATCAATGCCAAGTGGCTCAGAAAACTGAATTGATCATGTGCAAATGAATCTGTATTGACTAATCATCTAGCATGAAACCATAATTGATGATTGATCATTGATAGCTAAAATCTCGATGTCTTCAACATTTTCTGCCATGTGGATCCATGTGGTGGTTTTATATCACCAGACTGAGGTCCTTGCCTTTGCGCCACCGGCACGATTCGAAGAACAGGAAATTGCGGGAGGCTTAGGTGGCAACGGTGAGAAGTGGGCTGCCAATCAGTAGAGATAAGCACCCCCCAAATTCAACATAGAACCTGACAGTTGGGCCATATTCAGTAGCAACAATGGTGAACTTTGTGGAAATTATTAACGGATTCTTTTGGGGAATCTAATGAGGATTATACCATGATATACCATCACAGTAAATGAAATCTAGATTGATATACGACTTCCTGAAAATGGGTGATACCCTCAACTTGTCATTTGATAGGTCTTAAACCATGGGACTGTGGGGTACCCTATTTTTGGGCAAACCCCAGTGGAAACCCACCACTTGGGCAATCTATTTTTTTTTGATGGGGACCTCGACGAAATCCAGGCGGCAAGTGCAATTTCTGGTGGCAAGGGCGTTTACCAACGGAAACGGAGGGCCTTACTATACTAACCATGGCTACTAGCCACTTGCCAAGTAGGATACACAGAATTTATGGGTGTTTTCGTCCGGATTTCATTTACAAACGGGTATCACAACCGAACGTGTCTGTTCAATCACTGTGAAGGTGTCAAAATGCCCATAAATTCATTATTGAGAGACCATGTGTCACAGCCACTAGTTCAAATATGGCTGGGACAACAAGGATACCACTGTTTGCTAGGCAACAATAAACCTAACAATGGGGCCCACCGGTCAACTTGCATGCAAGACCAGTAGAACATGTTGAGCAAAACCCCCCATTCCAACGTCCTGCAAACATATGCAAAAGACACCAGCGGAAGTGGGTTGCACTTGTAACTATGCGACTGTTATATTACAATTATATAATCCCCATTAATCATTTTGAGATATATAGCTCCTCAATATACACCCATTGTCCCTTTTACAGTAAATTGATGCAAATTGCATTCTTGGGGCACAAAAAAAAAGTATTTTCAGACACACAGACTTATCATCTGAAGCTGCTTATCTAATCCATTCAATCCCCATGATCCATTCCATGATCATGTTTGTTTCATAAGAAAAACTTTACCAGATGATACCCTCTGGTAATTTGTTACATAGCTATTGAAAATGGCCATAGAAATACTGGATATGTCCATTAAAAATGGTGGATCTTTCCAGTTAGCTATGTTAGTCATAACCAGAGGATAAAACCCATTAGATCCCATTAAACCACCATAAATTCCCAGAGGGTACCAGAGGATATCCCTGTTTTTTTCAGGTGGACTAAGCCACTGGTTTTTTCAGCTGAAAAAAGCCACCATTGCTGGAGGATCATCCCATGGATGGAAAAAAAGTTAGTTCCAAGTGCCCCAAAAAATTCATTGAAGAAAAGTGAAAAATCCCTATTTTTAAAACCATCTTTTTAAGGGGATTCCTATATATATATATTATATATATATATATATATATATGATCCCTCTCTCTTTTTCTCAATGGAAATTTCAGGTAGCTAAACTAAAAAAACTGGAGGTACTGTACCATATAAAGCCGTCGAAATTGATGGTATATCCCCTTACATATGCCTGAGATCCAGAGGGAAACCCGCCAAGTATTTCCGTAAATATTCCTATACATATATGTATACTACATATATATATATATATCCCTAGGTGAACTATGGTTATGAATCATTCAGTGGGGTGCTCCAAGTAGATGACTTTTCATGATTTGTCAACCTCCATTTATAGATATTTATGGATTATAATAGTTTCATTGTAGGTATTTATAGATATTATAGATATTTATAGATATTTATGGATATAAATGATAAACTACTTGGGGACTTTCCCCTTGGTGGTTCCTATCCTTGAGATCTCGGTCATGCAAGGTCAAGTCCTTCCGGAGGAGCGAGCTGCTGGCGGCCGAGATTTTAACCATGGGCGAGCCCGAGCAGGCCGGGAATCAACGCTGCTGTTGAACGGGTTGAACGTTACTGGTGCTAAACGTAGGGATCATGGGGATGGATGATGATCAACCATTCGGGTAATCTGTTCACGGTTTTGCGCCTTCGAAGCCATGGGCCATTGATCGTGGATGATCTTTGAAATGGTGATTTTCATGTCATATATAGTTTAACAGAGGGTCACCACGAAAAGTGGAGGTTCAACCATGAATCATCGGGAATTAACACGACTTAATGAACCAAAATCATCCAAAATCTGGATACACCAACGGGACGGATACTTAAGTTGAAATTAATATGGGGAATCAAGATGAACTTATCATCAAAATGGTTTGGAAATGAACTGGATGACTATAGTTTAGTACTAACTATTTGTTGTTGACAAATGGCGAAATGTATCTCACAAATTTTGCAGGGTATCTAAGATTGGCTATGGCGCGGAAGGTGCGCACGTGTTTGGAAAAACAACCTTTGATAAAGTTTATTTATGATGAACTCATGTATGAAACAACTTTCCAATTTCTGCAGTTTGGTTCGGCTTGATCCCATTCCCCCTAAAAATATAAAATACCCATAGAAAGTCTTCGAAATCTTGGTTGACTATTGGATCTATTCAGTTTGGGGTCTTTTATTTGGGGTACTATAGAAAGGGGAAAGCATTGTATTGTAATTAAATATATACATTGATATATATATATATTGTATTCATTTATTTCGAATTTATATTACCCAATGCTTTAAGGCTATACACCAATTTCGCTTGGTGAAATCCCAACAGAAGTATGACTCTATTGCTCTGTAGCAGGTGAATAGCCGGCCGGAGCTCTACAGTGACAGGCCACCAGCAGAGAATTTGAACAGGTGTCGAAGTTGGTAATTTGCTATTTGGAATACTACAAAAACATATGAAAACATATTATGTGCATAGTCACGTGGTTGCAGATTATAAGTATATGTTGAATATGTATATGTTTACATATGTACACAGAAAGTATACTACGTGGGTGTCCGCACGTATTTATTTATATATTATTACCCAAATATACTAGCATTGTACCATGTTGTTGCAATTTATTTTGTACTCCCATGAATTAGAAAGAATTTAGGACACCCCACAATCATAAACCATAATCATATAGAGGCAATAAACCAGCAATCCTTTGGATATTGGTGAACATGAAAAACAAGTCCTGCCCAAATTTTGGTCACCCTTAGCACATCAAATTGACATTTTCTGGCTTCCTCATCGCGGGGCGTGGCACAATCGGACCAAGCAGCACAACTGTTTTTTCTGCCGATATTTCGATAAACAGCAGGATGTGTTTTTTTCGTTCCGAAGGCGGTTTACGAAGGTATAGTCACCAATCGCAATTTGTGTCCGACTATTCAGGTGGACTACCCACCTGGTGAATTCTTGCGCCATGGCAGCTTCGAAAATTGAACATGCAGATTTGCCCCAGCATTCACTGGGCATCCTGCAGCAGTTTCGTGATTTCTGGATGGAAGACTATCTTTGTGACGTTGTGCTGAAGAGCAGCGATGGTGCAGAGCACAGTGCCCACGCTGCTGTGCTATCTGCCACCAGCAAGTTTTTCAAGAACCTGCTGGGTGGATCCTTTCTGGAAGCAGACCAGGTGCAACGAGGACGGCCAGTGGAAATTGCTGCTTCTAATGCAACGGTGTCGGCCTTGCTTGACTACGTCTATGGCGGGCAGCCTGAGGTGAACCTGGAAGCTGGTCTTGAACTCCTACGACTGGCGGAGGCCTACGACTTGCCAAAGTTAGCAGGTGCGATTGAGGCAGGCTTCCACGCTTCTTTGGACAGCAGTGCCGCCTTGAAGATCCTGCAAGAAGCACAAGGACTTCATGATTTAAAAGTCGCATGTGAAGAGAAGGTTGCTGCAGATTTTGAGACTTGCAGCCAACATCCCGACTTTTGGACACTCAATTCTGGTCAGCTGGCCCGAATTTTGAAAAGAGAAGATTTGTTGGTGTCGCGGGAAGAAACAGTTCTGAAGTGCATTTTCAACTGGCTCAAGATCTCCAAGGACTCAGATGGTTCCCTCGGTATGCTTCTGCAACTTGTGGATTTCCATTCAATTTCTGTCGAAAATCTACTTCGCCTTGGTCGCTTGCCTGTCCCTGGTCTCAATGGTGACCACCTGCACCGAGAAGTTCAAGATGCCTTGCACGCTCGGTGCCGAAAGAGAACCCAAGGTCCACAGAGTTTTCTTCCAAAGAGGCGTTGTTTGCAACATTGGTCGCCAGATTTGGGTGCCAGCACTGAAGCTCCAGGGCGACAAGTGTTGCCGACCCCGGCTTACTCCTTGCATTGGCACGAAGGTGCCATTTACTTTGCAGGCTTTGATGCTGGCATCCATTGTTGGAAGCCTGGCAGCCCAGCAGCCGATGCACGACCAATAGCGGGTCCAGGCGCAAGCGTCGCTGGAATCAATGACCTGGGGACGGTTTTTGACTGCGCCATCGCACCTACAGGCCAGATCTTTGTGGCAGATTATGACAGTGGGAGGCTGGTCAGCTTCCAAAACGGATTTGGAAGCTTAGTGCTTGATGAGTTGCAGCAAGGTATATGCTGCTCGCCCAACGGTGTGTTGTATGTGCGGACTGCCCAAGCCCTGCAGAAGTTGGAAGGCTCGCGTCTCCAGACTGTCATGTCCTTTGAGACTCTTCCAGCAGACCTGCAGTTCGTCGCAAATGCAATGTTTGCCACCAAGGAAGAGGTGATTTATATCCTTGATTGTGGTGCCAACCGCATCCTACGCATTCATCCAGATGAGTCCTTCCAACCTCTTGTGATCGGACAAGTCCCAGCCGAGTACGGCCCTGCTCTATGGGACATGTTCGTCACTGAAGCTGGAACCATCTACGTTGCGGACGGAGGTCAAAACAAGGTCTTTACCCTCCGTCCAGGTGATGCAACTTTCACGGAAGTGTTGCAGTGTCCGGATCCATGGCGCCCTGTGTCACTTGTAGTCCAAGACAGATCGCTATATGTGAGCATGGTGGACCCTGCGGATCTGACATCCGGCCATGTCTCTGAGTATGAGTTGCCACCTCAGTTGCAGCTTGAATGAAAAACAAGGAGCTCATGGGTTGGCGGCCCCACCTGAGTGTTGGTCTATGGTCCTACAGCAGTTATGTTATGCATTAAATCTAAATTTCCAATGTCATTGTTTTTCCACTCATGCCTGGACTTGACTCAGGTTCTTGTTATTTGTTTGTGCTTCGGTGTGGGTTTGCTCCCGTTTTATAGGCATTGATTTTGCGGTTTTTTCTTGTCTCGGGCCGTCTCGGGGCGTGTTCGGTAAATCCCACTCTAGGCAATTTGCTTTAGAGAGCACGTCCCACCCCAGTACTTTCAACATGTTGCAATTGTGGTGAAATGTCCCATCTGAACTTGAACATCACAAAAAACATCAAAAAACCACTGGGGGTGTCATATCCCAACATATCCCAACATATCCCAACAACCATTCCAAGGTATTGTTCAAAATGGATTTTCATGGATGTTCCATCTACGTAGACTTGCTGGGAGGTGCCATTTTGGAATTTTACCACACTGAAGATTAGGATTTAGCCAACATATTAATTTTGTATATTACCATGCTTACCATGGATCTTCTAATTTGGGTCGGGTTTTTCATGGTCTGCAGAGGAGAATCTAAGCAAGTTCTTGCGGATTTTATACAAAAGCAGTGGTTCAACCGGGGTTCAGTATGGTTCAGTCCTGAATTTTCCGGTGACTTGATTCCATTGGTAAAATGGAAGTTTGGTTATCCCCCAACTCCATCCGTTTGTCCCTAGTGGCGTGGCTGGTTGGCGTGGAGTCATTCGTCCCTTTTTTTGAGAGTCCTCATGGCAATTGGATTCATGATGATCCAATTGCCATTTGGGCCAGTTTGCTTTCCCAAGGCACCAGATCTTGAAATTTCATGAAATTTCTTTGTGGGTAAAACATGGTTTAACAATGTTTAACATCCTCACCAGTCTTGATCCTAAAGTTACTAAAGTTATTCAAGTTTGATTTGTCCTCTCCATTCCTGAGACATCGGCTGCCCCAAAAAAAGAAGCCAAGAGACAAGCGATTCCCAAGGTGTCGCGCCGGAAAGTAGTTGAAACAAAGCTCTTTCTTTTTTGGGACACCTGTAATTATTTAGATAATTTTAGATACACAGTTACATGATGTTACATGCACATATTGATACATATTGCATATTGACTAATATACATTTACGATGATTTACATGCATGTGTCACTGAAGACAGATATAACAATATATGGACAACAATGGAAGGGTAGCATCCCCGAAAGAAGTGGACAAACCTATTTTATTAAACAACTATATCATAAAGAAAATATGAAAAAATCAAGTAGTACAGTACAGTAACTAAATGACTTGGATCAAAATCAGTTTTTTGTGGTTTTTGGACACACAAACAAAGTATGATTTCAACTTCAAAATAAGGATGAACAAATGTATGGCAATGGTATGAAACACGGGACGTTCTGAAATCATACTGTTTCACATTTTTCGTTTGAAAGCAGATTTCATAACCAAGTTCATAACACTTCGACGTACCCATAAGTCATGGGTATATCACCGAATATCACTCTATTTTTCTAGGTACTTGGAGGGTCTAAGGTACTTAGATTGTAGTTGCAATTCCAAACCAATGCTTTTTGTGTTTGCATTAGTTCTTTGATTTTGGCATATCTATATATTTATATAACTATATATAGTCATCCCGGATTCCTGGAGTAGATAGAATATGGCAACCACAAAGAATCTTTATTGAAATTGGAAGATCTGTCAATATTCCATGTCCGATCTACTTCAGGATGATTATATATATATATATATACACCTAGACCCTCCGTTTGTAACCATAAACATTGTGTTTTACCACATAAATATATGGGTTTGTCTGAAAATAGGGTATATTCCCAATCATAGCCATTTAATAGGGATAATGATCATTAACCATTGGGTTTAGGGGTACACTATTTTCAGACAAACCCATATAAATATATATATATAACACATGTAGCTTTCCATCAACATGGCCCTAAAGCCTCACCGAGCTTTCGTGAACCTGGCAGGCTTTGCGAAGTCCAGCAGCAACTCATCGACAAGGACATCGGGTCGGTGACGATTTGTGCTTTAGTTGGGATATTAACCAACCATAATGGGGATATGCAATTTAATATGTAGATCATTGTAAGTTGAACCAAGTTGATAGACATCTGCAATCATTGGAAGTTTACCAACCATAAAGGATACGTACATCATGAGATATATTTGGAAATAGAACTGATATAACTGTACTTTTCACTAGGTCCACGGCTCACAGCCGCCCCTGAGATAATCTGACCATCATGATATCAGCTGACATCTTTTTCATCGCCGTGGAGACTTCCCTGCCATTGGGAAGAGCAGTTTCATACCTTTCTGCTATTGGAGAAAGCCTTGATTTCATTCTTTTTGAAATGTCGGAAACTATGTCTTTTTTGCAGGAAGGTATTCAACAATTATGCTTCTTCAAATTCTTCAAATGCAAGTTAGAAGCTAGGAAGACCAAGTTGATAGCCTAGCATCAAGTGCGTCTTGGAATGTTGATGATCAAGTTGATTGCGCTAGAGGAATGAAGGCCATAGAACGTTATTAGCCCCGCCCCACCAACCCCCGTAACGCAGCACGTACATCTGAAGCGGAACGTGAACGTTATCACAAAATCCAACGTCAAAACACATGAAACAGTCAAAAAATACACGAAAACCATCGAAAACCATCGAAAACCCACTTTTGCGTCTTTTTGAGCCGTGGTCCAACTACAATATTAAACATATTTTAACATTACTTAACATATATTTAACCAATAACATCTAGTTTGAATGTAACGGGCAGAGGGAAAATAGGTCACCAACTTTTCGCAACACTGCCTTCGGTCGCCGTCTCGGTCGCCCGATCCGCAGGACATGGAAATCCACTCGCTGCGGCGCCAGCTGCACGACGCACGTCACGCCGCCGCCGCGTCGCAGGTGCAAACCTTGGAGAAAATGGGCCATTTGATGGTTATAGCATGTTATAGCAATATAGCTGGTTCGTGGTTTGGAACATTTTGTATTTTTCCCCAAGAGTTGAAATGATGATCCAATCTGACTTTCATATTTTTCGGGGGGGTTGAAACCACCAACCAGATAGAGTTGTTGACTATATCCCCAATGGTGTACTAAGTGTACTTTTTAAGTGTGTGTATAGAATATTAATGGTTGATATATTGGGTAACATGGGCCATTTTGGTGCATTTTCCATATCTTCCAGTGGTTTACTGGAGGGTATAATTTGATATTCTTGGATAAAAGTATATAGCCAAAAAATTGATATTCTGGGAATTTACTGGATGGTATTAGTTGTTACCTCACTACATTGGGTTTACCATTAGTATAAGGGAGATATACGTATCATGAGTATAATATACAGGGAAACCCAATAATCTGTACCATTAAAATAATGGAAATATAATTGTTGACTATATCCCAAATGATGTACTATTTAGTGTGCACATATCTATACGCACTCATCATGTCTCCCATTCTTTGGACTATATTTGAGATCTTTGTCATATGTTGTCCAAAATGGTGTGGTTTTGTCCAAAATGGAGCAGCTCACGCACAAATTCTTGCACAAGGAAAAATACGAAGCTGTTTACCATGGGATTTGGGGAGACTGATAGCCTCAAACTAACACTGCTGGAAATCACTAGGTGCTTTCTGGTAAAATCATGTACCCATTATTGGGAATATATTGTGGAACTATATATTATATTTCAAAATATATAGTTAGGTACAATGATGAGAACAGAACAAATCCAACAATTATGATCCAAATATGTCATCAAACCTTTATCATATATGTCATCATACTGAAAAAATAGAGGGAATTAGTCTTGTTTAAATGCAGAACATCTACCATATCTATATACAGTACATATCACATATACATCCCGGCGGAAGGGAAACCGCGCGAGCGTTTTGATTGGTTGCTTCCAGGAGAGTCACAATCACCTGTAATTTACAATATAAAATGCTCTTCCGATCAGTTTGGATAACTGACTTTGGGTTAAAAAAAGTGGATGCAAAATCTATTGATTTTTAACAAATCCAGGTAAACATCATGTGCATCAGACGTGGATGCGCAGATTTTTTTTCACACTCTTCGTCGGCTCAGCGATCCATCAGTGTGGAAGCTGTCTTCGACAGCAAGTTGCCATTATGGCACTCATAACGCCACTGCCAGCAACGCAGGTATAGCATGACATCTTTGTTCTGCCCTGCCTTTGTCTGCAAATTGCTAGGCACAATTTTTTTAGCCAAATTCCACAGAGAGTCAATCTTCCCAGCAGCAGCAAGGATCTTAGCAGCGTAGCAACATGTAACGTAGTAAACAATCCCAGAGATCTCAGCAGCGTAGCAACATGTCACGTAGTAAACGATCCCAAGGATCTGAGCAGCGTAGCAACATGTAACGTAGTAAAAGATCCCAGAGATCTCAGCAGCGTAGCAACATGTCACGTAGTAAACGATCCCAAGGATCTCAGCAGCGTAGCAACATGTCACGTAGTAAACGATCCCAAGGATCTCAGCAGCGTAGCAACCTGTAACGTAGGAAACTATCTCAGAGATACCAGCAGCGTAGCAACATGTAACGTAGTAAAAGATCCCAGAGATCTTAGCAACATCGCAATATATCCTGTACGAAGTTTGAGGAACGTTAACATGCCCCCCCCCCCCACCCCACCCCGACCCCAACCCACACTAGAGATCTCAGCAGCGTAGCAACACGTAACGTAGTAAAAGATCCCCGAGATCTTAGCAACATGGCAATATATCATGTACGAAGTACAAGGAACGTTAACATGCCCCCCCCCCCCCCCCCGCCCCAACCCCAAGACAAAGAGCAATACTCAAAAAAGAAGCAAAACGCACGTACGGTTTTCCTGCCGTAGGCATATACATGGTGTCATTTGTTTTTTGGATTACTGTGATTTTCACTACCTGTAAAATGAAATGACGACCCCAGTTGATAGTAGACAACATGTTTCAGGGCGTGGGGTGTTTCCCTTCGATTCCGCAACCATCTTGGCATGTGACCATGGCTCAAACCATGCAATTTTCGATGCATGTTTTGGTTGGTTCTTGTTGGGATAGGTTGTGCTGGTACATAAAACTGAGGGTTTTTGGGTAAAAACATACTAGACTCACTAGACTGCAAGACATCCAGCCAAACCAAATGTAGCTGAGCCAACAAAACTAGCTCTTCTCAATCAAAAGAATCATACAGAAAAACTGCCATCAAAAAAAAAAAATCTGGCAGATCTGCTTCAAGCCCAGTACCCTTTGGTAATCAAACATGGCAATGAAAATTTTGTTCTAAGTAGACCCTCGGAACCCCCTACTTAGAACAAAACTACTTAGAACAAAAACGGTCATGTTTTTGTTCTAACTAAGGGTTAGAACAAAAATTACCCAGACATTTTGGAAACAAAAATGTTCTAAGTAGATGTCTGGCGCTATACAAACCATTGATTTTGCCAGCTACAAAGCTCCACGGCTAGGGATTTTCCACTGTGTTTGATGTCAGGTACCAAAAATGGAGCTCCTGTAGCATATAACGCCAATTTTTCAGCCACATCAACTGGGGCCAAAAATGGTGGTTTCCATTGGTTTCGGGATCCCCAAAATGTTTGGTTTAAATGGAAAATGCTTGGTTTAAATGGATGATGATGGATGATGACTGATGGTACTGATGGTACCCTGAGCCATCAGGAATCAAATCCCCTTCGACAGCCCCATCACCGGCGAGGCCAAGCTCTGTCGCGTGCAAGCCACGCTGAAAGTCCGCGATGAGATGATCAAGGCCAAGAACCAGGTCCGTCCATCCGTCGGATCACAATTTGAATGGGGAGATGGGATGAACTGAATGGGGATTCTGTACAGACTCACCATGATTTTGTTTGATTTTCCGATTCACGCGTGTTTCTCCCCAAATCCCATGGTTAACAGCATCAAATATGTTTGCTTCCAAGGGAATCTTCATATTTTTGTAACCTATGTTTCTGTCCGCGCCGCGAGGACATTTCGGAGATGCACCTGGAGCTGCACAGCGCGGCACGGGAGGTGGCGATGGCGCGGCGGCACCACGAGAGGCAGGGATGTGTCACTCTTAGGTTTAGATATTATATTATATATGTATATGTATATGTATACATATCTATATACATATATATATATATATACATATACATATATATATATATATGATTATACATATATATATATATGATTATACACATATATATATATATATATGTATATATGTATATGTATGTATATGTAATTATATGTATATGCATGTATATATGTATGCATATATGTATGTATATATATTTAATATATATATATATATAATGTGTATAGATGTACATCATATAGCACGTACATCATATAGCATGTATATCAGATCATATATACATATACTATGATGTTATACATAGAATGTTGCAAAATAATTGTTACATTTTTTAATCGTTATGCACATGTGAATGCAACTGATGGATTAATTCCGTTGATAAACAGATTTGATGTAATACCATATATATATATATATCATATTATATATACAAATGGGCAGATACTCCCAGTTCTGGGTGACCGGACCCTGGCTAGCCGCTAGTCTCACCTCCAAAAATGATGGCAAGATGAGGAATGACCAGGCGCAGTCACCATGGTATCAGCCTTCGATGGTGCACTGCGGCGACATCCCCAATGAACCATGCTTAAAATGTGCCATTCTCATCGTGGTTGTTGATGGTTCATTGTTCATTGACACATGGGTTTGTCTGAAAATATGGTACCTCTGAATCCATTGGCTAATCATCATTTTCCTATCAAAAAGTACCATTTGGGGGGTATACACCATTTTCAGACAGACCCACATCGGATTGTGTCAATTGTTGTTATAAAATAGCAACAATGATGGTGCTCGAAATTGGTGTATCGAAGCCAATACCATGCTGCGCCTTTGTCATGATCGCTCACCAGTTTCTGCAGGGCAGACTCTGCACTGGTTCACAAGCCAAAATTTCCATAAGGCCAATCTCAAAGCCACAAAATGTACCCTCTGCTAAACAAACATAGCTATTGAAAATGGCCCATTTATAATGGGTTTTCCCATTAAAAATTGTGATTTTCCATAGTTATGTTAGTTTACCAGAGGGTACTGTATATACTTGTGGATTCTTTTCATACCCCTGTAGATGAGGGTGGTCATTCCATTTCTATTAAATAAAGGTGCACGTCACTCTTTCCACTGCTGGTCATGTCAAGCTTTCAATTCTTGGCGTATATTGGTACATGTCTACTGATTCCAAATGGGTATAGGTCAAATTACGAATCCATGATGCGCAAATTGTGGTTGTTTCAAGAACGAAAACATACAATATCAATACTCACCAGGGATCATGGCTACGCAGAAGTACTGGAGAAAAAATAACAATGCCCGTGAAGTCAGCTTTGGAATTCATCATGAATTATCCAGGATAGTACATCTGCGTTTATCATGGTTTATCCAAAAAACCAGGTAACCCCATATCATCCACTGCTTTATCACCGTTTTCCCCAGCAACCTTGCCACAATGTTGGGGTATACAAGTAAGTTTCATCCAAACTTGTATTGTTGTTTATAGTTATGTTATAGTTATGTTATAGTTATGTTATAGTTATGTTATAGTTATGTTATAATGTTGTTTATAAAACATAGCTATTTATTGTTTATGTTTATAGCTATGTTATAGCTATTTCCCAAATTTCATACAAGTAGTGTTGTTTATAGCTATGCTCCATGGGTTAACCATGGAATGACGACGTGAAGCCCCCAATTTCAATCGTAACTTTCAGGCCGCAGAGCGACAACCTGGCGGAACTGGATTTCTTACGACGGCAGTGCAAGTTGCTGGAGGCCTGGACCTTGGGATCCCTTGGGTTCCAATGGGTTCCCTTGGGATCTCACGGTTGACGATGAATGGTATATAAATGGTATATAAATGGTTAATAAGGGAAATCATCCCCAAATGGCCGCAAGATTCAGGTTAGTGAAATATTATAAGTTACCCAGATAAATGGTATATCATCCACATTAATGGTATGTTAATGGTATAATAAATGGTATATATTAGTATACTCATGGTTAATATTTTCATGATATACTTATGGTTAATGAATATGAATGGTATATGAATGGTGATACATATATGGTGATACATATGGCACCCATATATGGTGATATATATGGTTAATATAATGGTGATAAGATTAGTGATGATATGTATAATGCTTGATGTTAACGAATATGAATGGGATATGAATGGGATATGCTATAGTTTTCTAATGATGAGCATTTATAATATGGTTAAATCTGGATAAATTATAACGACCGAACCCTGTTCTCCCTCACTTGGAATAATGGTTAATAAGGGAAATCATCCCCAAATGGCCGCAAGATTCAGGTTAGTGAAATATTATAAGTTACCCAGATAAATGGTATATCATCCACATTAATGGTATGTTAATGGTATACTAAATGCTATATATTCATACTCATGGTTGATATTTTCATGATATACTCATGGTCAATGAATATTAATGGTATATGAATGGGATATTAATGGGATATGATATCGTTTTCTAATGAGATGCCCTTCGTGAACGGTGGGAATGTCGATCTCCGACAGAATGACAAGTCTCTCCAGGATGTTATAGATGATGGTGGGGAAATTTACAGGTGTCCAACTGTTCTAGCTATGTCGGGGTATATACGGTATATGTATATACATGTGTATTAATACATGTGTAGAGATATTGAAGTAATTATACAAAAACTGTAAAGAACCAACTATGTGTATTGATTTATCTATCTATATCCATATCTATCCATATCTATCCATATCTATCCATATCTATCAATATCTATCCGTATCTATCTATCTATCCATCTATCCATCTATCCATTTGTCCATCTATCCATCTATCTATCTGTCTGTCTGTTTGTCTATCTATCTGTCTGTCTATCTGTCTCTCTGTCTATCGATCTATGTATCCATATATATATACATCACTCCAATAAAACATCTTTTTGGCAACGTTCTGAAGAGCCATAGCAAGGGATCTCCCGTGTCAGAATTCAGAGGTTCGATCCAGGGATCCAGTCCCATTCAATGGATTGGTTTGTTGGGTAAAATCACCGGAAACCATCATTTTTATCAGCAAATTTTGCTCGGGGTTTCCTGTAAATGTTCCCTTAATCCAATCCAGACACTGATTGAACTTGGTTCTTTTCCAGTGACTTGCCATCAGGAGATGAACCAACAGCTCCGACGTGTCACTCGGTTTTTAGGGAGACAAGCGCGTGCTTGGTGTGTATTGGCGACGGGCAAATCATGTTTAACGTGTTTTGCTGAGAAAGGTCTGGATTTTTCCATGGATTTTTAGTGTGCAAAAGAAACACAAAAAGCCGGAAGTGGAACGTGCAACTTTTTCCAAAAACTTAGATACCCTCTGGTAAACTAACATAATAATGGAAAATCACCATTTTTAATGGGTAAATCAACTATAAATAACAATTTTTAATAGCTATGTGTGTTTACCAGAGGGTATAGTCTTGAGTCTGTGATGTGATGTGCAAACCACACGTTGGATTCGGGAAGTCACACGTGGATTTGGTCGCATGGCTTTACCCTCTGGTTATGTCAAAATAGCTATTGAACATGGCCATCGAAATAGTGGATTTTCCCAATAAAAATGGTGATTTTCCATAGTTATGTTAGTTTACCAGAGGGTACTTGTCTTTTTTCTCGTGATCATGAACTTGAGCCGTCACGGGATTTACTCTTTAGGATTTTGTTGGCTAAGCTGGTTTAGTTCGCCAGGTTGGCTGTGCGGTTTATGGTCACGAAATAACTATAGTCAGATTGGTTTATAAACCAACTCATATCAATGGGAAATTCAGGATCCTAAAATGGAGGTACTGTACCATTTAAGGCCATATTTTGTGGGGATATTCCCTTACATAGGCCTTACATATGGCCATTGATCATAACCGGGGGCACCACCTTGTAGCAGTTCTAAACTGGGACCTTCGGAGCAAGTCTCGCAGAGGGGGAAGGCAGGACTGTTTTTTCGGTGCAGGCGATATTGCTGGGTGATGCAACATCGACAATTCGGAAAAGATGAAAGTGCCAGTTTTAGAGGTGACATATATCTGGGTAAATTATAACGACCTCACTACGACCTCACTGGAAATCATGGTTAATAAGGGAAATCATCCCCAAATGGCCTTAATTCAGGTTAGTGAAATATTGTAATTTACCCATATATATAATATATATATATATATATTGGATTGATATTGCTATGGGTCAAAAGTCCATTCACATGTTTCATCTGATCAACCAGAAGTAAAAACGATGGGATCAACCAGATGGAAAAAGCCTGGATGAACCAACCCCAAACGGCGGTTTTTTGTTGGGGTGGTGGGCTACATATCATTTAAGTAGATGAAATATGATGAAATGACTCTTGGGGAAGTAGCGGTTAATTTTTCTAAGCTATGGTTTATTAATCCAAAGTTGACATACTAAACATATCTAAACATTGTCATTGAACAGAGCTTTGGAAACAGAAACACTATTTTTGATCCATGTGTCATAGGTCAACCATCGAACCTAAAAATGGGCCACGGCTTCCTGGAAGCTGCGGCAGCGCTTACCCAGGACCAATGGCAAGCTGCGTCGGTGATCTTGGTGGATTTTCCACGGCAGGGGGGAGTGGAACTGAGCCTTGACACACATATATGTATATATATATAATATATATATATATTATACCCTCTGGTTATTTAACATAGCCATGGAAAATGGCCCATTTATAGATGATTTTCCCATTAAACCACCCATTTATAAGGGATTTTCCATGGCTATGTTAAATAACCAGATGGTATACATTAATCTATATAATGGGGATATGTTAGGGATATCATGGGTATGGAGATACAATCGGGGTGTATTTTTTTGGATGTAATGGGAACAGATTAGGGATATCATGTGGATATAATAGGGATATAGTGGGAATATGATAGGGATCTTACGGGTACACAATAGGGATATAATGGGTATGTAGAACCAACCATATAAAGGGTGTGGGTGTGATTGAAAATGCTTTCCATTCAACAATATATTTTAAAAGGTAAGATGATGATCAACACATGCATGGAATCGAGTAGCCACGTTTTAGACAGACCCAAATGGCTGGAAAGTCTTGGCGTTGTCGTAGATACTTCTGATTAGAGGGACTACATTGGAACCCCAAGTGAAGCAGTGTGGAAAGTGACCAAGTGAACACGTCTTGTTGCATCTGGTCGCTAGATCCAAATGCATCATCCAACAGATCGGTGTTTCTCTTCCATGGTAGAGGGTACCATCTGGTAAACATACAAAAACTGGTTGGTGGTTTGGAACATTTTTTCCCATATATTGGGAATAAGGTGAACAACTGACTAATATTTTTCGGAGGGGTTCAAACCGACCAACCAGAAAAACTATGGAAAATCACCATGTTGGTAAATCAACCATCAATCATAATTTTCAATAGCAAGCTCTTAGTTTACCAGAGGCTATTTTTGTCACAAGTGGCCACCTTTCATCTGCGCTCTACTGGATGATGTCAAGTGATTCAGTTGGATTTGGCTTCGTTTAGTTGCGGGGATGTTCCTTCATGTCTTGTAGTTGGGGGAAGCATCTTGCTGTATACAACATGTCTCATATCCCTGGGCAACTACTGGTTTGAAATACCCTCTGGATCCCTCTGGTAATTTCACAGTTCGCTAAGAACATGGACCATTTTGGTCGATATTGAGCTATTAAAAATTGTGATTTTCCAGTTCACAAAGTGTTAAATTCTGGGTATCTTAGCGGTGGCAAATGTTCCATCCCGAGATGGTCTCCATTGGCTAAAGGGGCACTAAAGGGGCAACCATGTTTTACCCATTGGGAAAATGCTGGTTTATCACCAGTGGATCAAAAAGGGTGATGTGCAAAAAAGGTTATTTTTTTTAATGACCAGTCAGACGGTCAAAAATGGTGGTTTCTATATCACTAACATCATGGATCTAAACGGGTGCCCGTTTTTTTCCTTCATCATTCTTAGAAAAAACATGGGGTCCTGCCGAGAGATTCATTCGAAAGAAGGTGATGCCCCTTTTTTATAGTTGGGAAATTGTTACCACCCCAAGTAATCCAGAATCACTTTTTTTTTGGTAGATGAAAATCCATAGTGAAACTGTTAATAGATGAAATATTCCAATCCATCCAGAGTTTCAGTCCTCTAAAGCAGCTGAACTTAAAATAGGTCAGTCCAGTCAGTCCAGATCCTAAAATGACGAAAAAACACCATTATGCAAACGAAAAAACACAGACATCTGGCGCCGAATTTCAGGTCAGCGTCGTCAGCGTCGTCTGGTCCAGATCCCATTGAGGATTGGCTGTGCAGCGCATGACTTGGATCCAGTTATTCAGGGAGGGTACAAGGTGGTGCCCCATAGTTGGCTAAGTTAGCTTATAACTCGAACTAACTAGAGTTTATGGTAGTTATATGTATATATAGTGTGTATATATATTTACATGTTTTTCCTATGGTCTATAAACCAACTTATAACTGGAGGGTCACCATCTTGTATACTCTTCCCAGCTAGCCACGTTTGATTACCGGAAGGTCCCCAAAAAAAGGCGCAAAATTCAGAGAAAATCTTGATGTTCGTCACAGTTGAACTCACTAGGAAGATCCTGGAAGGGGGAAAGTGCAATTGTGCAATGCCAAAAACTGGGATAGAGTACCTTGATGTGTCCTTCCTCAAAAAGAATTCTAGTCTACCCTTTCAGACAATCTTACTCCCCCCATGTTCCTGCAATCACCCAGTTATTGCTCTTAGCTAAATCCTTCTTTGTTGGGTCACTTTATTTATTTTGTGGTTCCTGGATCTACATACACATCAAGTATTTGGGATATACTACTATGATAAAATATGATAAATATACGTGCATATATAATAATATATATACATATTCATAGCATCAATAATGATCATGCATGTAGCATGCATGTAGTATGCATATATTATGATATATCATAACATTGATATATCACAATCATACTGAATCATACTACATGTACATATATGATCATATATGTATATACACCCTCTGTTAAACTAACATAGCTATGTAAATCACCACGTTGAATAGGCAATTCAACTATAACTGGGCCATGTTCGATAGCTATGTTAAATTACCAGAGGGTAATATGTATGTATATATATACATATGTATATATATGTGTGTGTTAGTGCCACAGCATCCTGCAGGTACCTCATTGCTTCATCTGGCCATGCGGCCCAAATCCCTTAGGAACCTTTCGTGGAGTCACGAGCGCAATGGAGTGGAGAAAGAGTCCGTGCGTTTGACCTGGAGGTCGTGGCAAGGATTCAGGTGAATCCATTTTGGGTCTACTGCCAATAACATTGGTAGCGGAGCCGGTCCGCTTAAACCGGCAATCTGGAATTCACTCAAGTCCCAGGAGGGACAACGAGCACAGCATCCATGTCCTCCGGAGCTTCTTCCTCTGAGAGCTCTGGGGGGATTCGCTACTTTTCTGGCGAGTCGGAGGACTACAAAGAGTATCGTAGATGGAAGCTTTGGCTGTCAAACAAGTTCAAGACTCTCGACAAGCTGCAGCCCGATGCCCGTGGGCCCTATCTGTTTACGTGCCTGACAGGAAAGGCCTTGGAGACAGTGGAGCATGTCGAGCCTAGTGAGTATCAGAAAGACGGTGGTGAGACAGTCCTTTTGAAGCTGCTTGATGCCAGGTTTCCCGAACGAGACCAAACTGATGAACTAGCTGAGGTTTTGAACGAGGTGTTTTCGTTGAGAGCACAGGAAGGTGAATCTCTTCGTGCCTGGATCAGTAGGGCCACTGAGTTGTTTGACCGATGCGAAAGAAAGGGAGGCGTTAAGTTTCCTGAAGAGGCCAGAGGTTTTGTGCTTCTTCGCTGGAGTGGCTTGTCAGAGGAACAGCAGGCGGTTGTGAAAGGTAGGTCACTGGGCATTCTCAAAAGAGAAGAAGTCAGCAAGGCCATGCGCAGTTGTTATCCCGATTTCACTGTGGGCCGTCGCAAGGCAGTAGCTTTGGTAGAAGGCGATGAGACTGGGGCTGTACCCGGAGATGAAATTGAGATCAACGGTTTTGACGACATAGAACTGTTTTTAGCTGAACATGACACTGACTTTGCACTGGATGAAACAGACGAGTTTCAGGAGAATAAGGTAGCCGAAGTTCTTGCGTCTACTTGGAAAGAAAAACGTGCTGAGATAGCACGTTTGCAGAAATCAAGAAGATTTGACCAAGCAAAGGATCTCAAAAGATCTTTTCGAGTTGAGATCGAAGAGATGAAGCGCAAGACAAAGTGCAATCGATGTGGACGTGTAGGTCATTGGGCCAGAGAATGCCGCCAAAAGCGTTCCAGCCCACCTGCAGGATCATCGACGTCTTCCTCATCACAACCAAAGCCTGGAGTCAAAGAAAGTGGTGCAGGATATGTGGCTCCTGAGGAGCAGATGCCTGAGGCACAACCGGAATTCGTGGCTTCGGTGGGATGTCAATTGACCTTGGTACAACGGTTGCAACAACAAGCGTACAACAGATCTGCCGCTGAGGATCAATCGACATATGATGTCACCACCGAGGTATTTTTGGTGAGTAGCCCAGGCTTTGCAGTTTTGGACTCTGGATGTGGTAAGACAATCATAGGTGATCGAACGCTGAAACAGTTTCAACAGCTTTGGAAGTCCGATGGAAGATTTACTCCATCGTTCAAATCTGAGACCAATGTCTTCAAATTTGGAAATGGTGATAGGGAAACAACATCCACAACAGTGGTGATGCCAGTGGGTCTTTCCGGTCGCTTTGGAACCATTCAAGCTGCCATTGTTCAAGGGGACGCCCCGTTGCTTTTGTCCCGTCCTGCTCTGAAGAAGCTTGGAGCGACCATTGACTTCCATTCTGATCGTTTGCAACTGTTTCATGGAAAGGTTGACATGGCCTTGAAGGCCAATGCTGCTGGACAATATGTGGTGGACGTCATGGACTTCCCAAAGATTGACAAGATTCCTGAAGAGCCCGTCATTCCCTCAGAGGATCTGACGTCCAAAGAGGTGCCAGCCGTGAAGTCCTGTCATCCCCATGATCACCTTAACAATAGGCCCCATGATAGACATAATCCACCCGATCATAACCTTAAGGTTAAGAGGTCTGATGTCATGTCAAATGCCCCCTCGTCCGAGGGTGTACCGCCGTGTCAGTCCGATGTCTGTCATGCCGTCCAAGGGGTCCCAGTGAGTAAGAAGTCTGGGGGTATCTCTAGAAAACAGCTGCGTAGCCTCAAGAAACAAGTGTCCACAGGAATCCAAAGGTCCAAAGTTGGTAAGAAGTATGCCGTGGTAGAAGTGTTCTGTCCACCGCGTTTTGTGCCAGAGGTGGAACGCATGGGCCTCAAAGGCCTTTCAATGGATACTTCAACGGGCTGGAACTTGGATGATCCCAAGACGCAGGAGTGGGTATGCCAGGAGATGCAAGAACACCCACCAGAGTTAATGGTCATATGCCCCCCATGCACCAATGCCGGTGGTTGGTTCCATCTTAATTCCTTACACATGCCCGTTCATGAGGTATTGAGGCGTAAGGTATTGTTGAAGAAACAAAAGGCCTTTTGCAAAAGACTCATACGTCAGCAGATCAAGTCCGGGGGGAGAGTCATGTTTGAGCACCCAAGCCCGTCATGTTATTGGGATGATCCAGACTTTGCACAATGGTGTGAAGAATTGCATTCGTTCGTCACTCACATGTGTTGTTTTAACTTGCATGTGCCAGCCCGTGGCAACCAATCCAAAAGGCTCATTCGGAAGAGCACCCGATTGCTTTGCAGTCATGCTGACATGTGCGCACTCCGTCGCAACTGCCCAGGAGCTAGCCACCCAGATCACCGAGAACACAGGCAAGTCGCTGGTTCTGAACCAGGCATAGGAGCCGTGAGCAATCATGCTGGGAGGTATACCCCTGAGTTTGTCAGAGCAGTCCTTGACACCATCCCACGTTTTCGGTGTCCCACAGAAGTCTTGGAATGTAGCCTGGACTGTTGCCACATGCCACCATCTAACGTGTTTGAAGCCCTAGCCATGCAGGAAGAAACAGACCCTGAAAAGGTCAAACAGTCGCTGATCAAGTTGCACCGAAATCTAGGCCACCCCAGTAACTTAGATTTAGTCAGGGTTTTGAAGCATGGACAGGCATCAGACTTAGCAATCAAGTTGGCACGTGAGCTCAGTTGTGATTTCTGCACTGCCCGCAAAGCCCCTTCAGCTCCAAATCCAGGTAAGGTGAGCACTGTCACTGAGTTCAATCAGCGGATTGGTTTAGATGTCAAATTTCTGCAAGGATGGAAACCCAATCAAAAGATATCTGCACTGAACATAGTTGACCATGCCACCTCATACCAATTGATGTTGCCGTTCTTTGAGACTGAAACCTCAGCCTTAATCCGGAAACTTTACCTGGAACGTTGGGTCCAATGGGCTGGCCCACCGAAGGAGGTCATTTTGGACCCTGCCAGAACCAATCTGGGAAAAGCCATGGTTGAACCTGTGGAACTTGAGGGCACGCATGTACATGTGACAGCTGCTGGTGCCCACTGGCAACTAGGGAAGACCGAAGTCCATGGAGGTTGGTTCAATAGAGTCCTCATTAAGGTTTTGGAGTCCCACAATCCCCAAAGCAAAGAAGAGTGGTTGGAATGTGTTGTCCATGCCCACATCAAGAACCAAATGATCCAGAGCTACGGGTTTACCCCAAGCCAAAGAGTGTTCGGAAGGAACCCTGACATCCCCGGAGATTTGATGAGCGAGCCTCAAGCCGTGGTTCCCAATACCTGTTCCCTGCATGATGACTCCATTGCCCGAGCATATGCACTCCGCAACACAGCACGCAAAGCGGTGCTGGAATTGCATGATGACCGCACTTTGCGGAAAGCCTTGTTAGCACGCCCTCGCCGTGACAAGCCTTTTGCTTCGGGAGATGTGGTAGCTTATTGGAGGGATCAAAAGTGGCACCAAGGGCTGTTATCTAAAGGGGGTAAATGGTATGGTAGTGGGGTTGTTCTTGGACTCATTGGTCGTAATGTAGTGATTGCTCACCGCAACCACATTCTCCGATGTGCTCCAGAGCAAGTTCGACTGGCAACTCAGGAGGAGAAGGCGCTGATTGAGACACAGGGCACTGAGCTCTTGGGTATCAAAGACATGATTGAGGGAGGAACCTTTCGCAGTTCTCAGTATGTTGACTTGATTTCTCAAGCATACCCTCCTCAAGAGCAAGACGTAGTCCCGCCTGTGCAGCCAGCTGTATCAACAATGCCTGACCCTCCATCCGTACGGCCTGAGATAGCACCAGCACCTGAACCACCCAGTCGTGCAGCCGAAACAGTTGATAAGTCTCCCTTGTCAAGCGAAGAGCTGTCCCCAAAAGTCAATGCAGAGTCTGGTGATGTCCCTGAAGCCAGTGGTAGTTCATCTAGTTCAGCAAGTGGTTCAAGTGCCGTTCTGCCTCAGCCTGCCGATGAATCTGCGTATGGCCCAGTCCGCAGGTCTCGTATCCTAGCTAAGAGTGGCCCTCTCACCATGTTCCGACCGGCAGCAATGAAACATGATGACTTTGTTGAAGTGATGAATGAGGTTGTTCCCCAACTCATTGAACAAACAGTTATGGCTGATGATACCACCGGATCTGAACGCAAGAGAGAAGCTGCTGAGACTTCTGACGCGCCATCTGCCAAAGTACCAAAGACAGAGGTTTCTGCTGACTGCGTAGAACATGGAGTTGCGTACGTGGAACATGCAGCTTGCTCTGTCACAGAGTCCTGTGAACTTTGGGAGAGTTTCCGTGATGCCAAAGACAACGCAGTGGAGGTGTTCATCAACCAGTACTATAACAAACGAGCACAGAAAGAGATCCCTTCAAGCCGTAATGAACCTTTTCTTCAGGCAAAGGTCGACCAGGCCAAGGTCACTGAATGGCAAACTCTCATTGATAAGGGCGCTGTCCGTGTGGTCCCTGCCAAGGAGTCCGCTTGGATCCGTAGGCACCAAGCTCACCGAATCATGGGTAGTCGTTTTGTCATTGTTAAGAAACCTGAAGAAGACCTTGTAGAAACTGGACAAGCTGTTGATCCCAACAATCTCAATCATTGGAAGGTGAAAGCTCGATGGTGTCTCCAAGGACACCTTGACCCAGATCTGTCCGCAAAAGCCACAGCCGGACAGCTGCAATCACCCACATTGTCTCAGATGGGACGCACAGTCTTGTTCCAACTCATGTCATCTCACCGATGGCAGCTGCAGTTAGGAGACGTCAAGGGAGCATTCCTTGAAGCGGGACCCTTACCTAGGTGTTACCGACCATTATACGCTCGCATTCCAGCTGGAGGAATTCCTGGGGTTGATGAAGAATGTCTGTTGGAAGTGTTAGGCAACGTTTATGGTCAAAACGATGCTCCTGCTGCTTGGTACAAAGTGTTCAATGACGAAGTGCTGAAGGCTGGGTTTGAGCGTAGCAAATTCGACAACTGTCTTTACTGGTTGAAAGAGAACGGTCGTTTGGTAGGTGCCTTAGGTGCTCATGTAGATGACACAGCCACCGGAGGCAGTGGAGAAAAGTATCAAAAGGCTTTGGCTTACTTGAGACACAGATTTCCCTACCGAAAGTGGAGAGTAAATGAAGGTGAATTTTGTGGAGCCCACTACAAACAAGACCCTGTTACCATGGCCATTCACATGAATCAGAAAAACTTTGCTGAAGCCTTGAAACCGGTGCACCTTCCTCAACGAAGAAAGGCTGATCGTAGTGCCAAGCTTGACTCAAAAGAAGTCAGCATTTTGAGAGGCATCAATGGCAGTCTCAATTGGCTGGCGACACAGAGCCGACCTGACATAGCAGCACAGACTAGCATTAGCCAGCAATCCTTTCCTGATCCAACAGTTCATCATCTTCTCGAAGCCAACAACATCATCAGAAGAGCCAAACAGTTTTCCGATTTGGAAGTGACGTTTCAGCCAATTCCTGTGCAGAAGCTGCGGTTGTGTTGTCATTCCGATGCAGCATGGGCAAATGTAGGAGTTCACACTCAAGCGGGTTATATCATTGGTTTTTCAACTACTGATCTCGATGCTGGAAGAGAAACCAGTTGGACCCCGGCTGTCTGGAAATCCTTTAAACTGTCTCGTGCCGTAGGATCAACACTTGCAGCCGAAGCCCAGTCCATGGTAGCCGCGACAGGCACATTGGAATGGACTTCCTTGCTGTTAGCCGAAGCAATTGATGGAATTGGGGAGATTAGAGAGTATGCTCAGCACTTGCGTAATCGCACTCCAGTAATAGTCACAGACTGCAAGTCCCTGTATGATCACCTCATAGCTGTCTCTTCTCCTACTTCTGTTGAAGATCGTAGAACCTCAATAGACATTGTTATTCTCCGCCAAAGTCTGTCAAGATTAGGTGCATCAATCCGTTGGGTCCCGACCAACCGAATGCTGGCCGACTCCTTGACAAAAAGCGCTGGAGATCCAACTGATCTTTTGAGGGCATGCATCAGAAATAACACATACCAAATAAGTTCTGAAGAAGCCGTGTTGAAGTTGCAAGCAGCCGAGAGGCAGAGACGTGTTCAAAACAGAAAACTCCAAACAAACGACTCACAGTTCCAAAAGCATGCGCGATCTCAGTGCAAACATTGAGATCTTCAAGAGTGTTACTCACCAGTTTTGTGTATAGTCAGTTTTGTGCTATGTTTACCATGGGTGGTAAAGTTTGCGTGCCAAGCAACCTGGTTCAAGTCATGTACAGGATTTTGATTTGCGCCATTTTTCCCTTTTGACCGTTTTTGCTTCAGTGATGTCTCAGAGTCAGAGCTCGCAGCCCTTGACCCCTCAGGAGAAGGTTCTGTTGCAAGAACTTTTGGCCCGTGCTGGCATTTCCTCTGAGGAGGTAGAGCCATCGACTCCGGGAAGTTTTTCAATCGTGGAAGCCCAGTCTATGTCTGACGCCTCCAAACGTAGAGGAGATGATCTGATGGAAGAGTTTGGCTCCAAGCGTGTCCTTACCGCTGAAGTTCCCTATCAGATGGAAGGACCACCTCAGCCAACACGAGTTGGTGTGACACCGCGCGGTAAGCCCATCTATCTGCCTCAAGATGTCATCGATGTTCAGACGTGGGAACGCAGTGTGATTCAGTTTGGAAAGTACATGAAGAAGCGCGACCAAGCTGAGTTGTCCTACTGTGAGCTCTTTGAAGCTGTCCATGATCAGGAGAGGGCCCGATATGTGAAGTGGGTCATCTCTCAGACCGATTCAGCCAAAGGCCTTTTGCTAGATTTGGCCTCCTATCTCTGTGTGCGTTCAGCTGAAGTGCAAGGGGAAGATCAATTGCCTTTCATCCCCGGCACCAGCACCTTGCGAATTGTGAAGTAGAATCCGAAGTGAATGATCGCTTGATGTCTGGCACTTGGAAAGTTTCCGTAGTGTTTTTGTGATATAAGGAGTGGCAACTCCCTCTTTTTCCTTTTAAGTATAGTGAGTGTTAGTGCCACAGCATCCTGCAGGTACCTCATTGCTTCATCTGGCCATGCGGCCCAAATCCCTTAGGAACCTTTCGTGGAGTCACGAGCGCAATGGAGTGGAGAAAGAGTCCGTGCGTTTGACCTGGAGGTCGTGGCAAGGATTCAGGTGAATCCATTTTGGGTCTACTGCCAATAACATATGTATATATATATATATATATGTATATATATATATATTTGTATATGCATACAGAGCGAGATGGATTTGTTTGGATTGTCGGAAGGCGCATCCGCTGCATCTCACAGGAGATGCCCTCCGAGCCCATAGCCAGCAGGGCACCAGAGAAGGCGGAGAAGGCCAAAACTGGAGAGTTCAAACGTCAAAACCATGAAAACTGTTTTTTTCACTGATTGAATTTAACCATAGAAAAATGGGTAAATGAACTTTAAAACTGGGGGTTCCCCATCAAAACTGCGGGTCCTGAGCCTCCAGTAAACTAGCGGCTAGCGTAAGAAACTCGCGTAGCATAGCTATGGGTTCCATCATCCTTGGGGATCATCTTTCCACCAGGAGCCCGAGGTCAACAGTGGTCCGTTGCCAAGCATCTTGGCAGGAGGAAGTACCGAAGCGTTTTTTGAACAGCTCCCGATTGGAAAGTCTTCCCAGTGGCTCATGATGGCTGATGTATGTTTGTACTTGGTGAAAAATTGAAGTCCTATTTTTTCCAGTTGAATTTACAAAAGTCGGTAAGAGCTTAAAAGGTCAGTAAAGGTTCCATTTTCTACAGTAAGTGTCGCTGGTGAACACCAGGGGATGACGACCAGTTTCGGTTCGATTCTTCGGAGAATCCGAACGGTTTGATGACCAACGGTTGAACAGTAAAATCAACATTTAAGTATTGTTTCCAGTATATATATATATATTATATATAAGTACCATGAAAACAGTGTTGTAACAAAACGGCGAGCAATAAAATCACTTACGATTTGTTTGTAATCACAAAAGACCAGCAAATACCCACCTCACACGCGATTTGGGTTTGTTTGCAAAATAGGGTACCCCAACTCATCCACTGCTTCATCATTATTTGCCCTTAAATTAGCTATAGAATTGGGGGTAGACTCACCATGAAATCAGACCCAATTTTTTCCCATTGCTTATCCCATGATATCCCCATGGAATGCCCCCGAAAAAACCACCATGAAAAACGTCCTTCAGTATCCTTAAGTCATATTAAATCCCCATTGAACCTCATTATCTCACCTTAAACCAGTATTTTTCACCATCATTGAACCACCATATTGAACACCATATTGAACCATCATGGTTAAATGTTCATGAAATGATCTCATGAAATCACCAATTTTCCCCACCGAACTCACCGAACTCACCGAAGTCCTGTCCCGAGGCATCAGCCGCGCTGCGGCGAAAGCCACCATGGCGACCAGGCCTTGAGGCCTCTCGGTGTCCGAGGTGAAGTAAGTTTTTGTGCAAATATGACTATATAACTAGTATATATATATATATAGATAGATTATCATATGATATATATATATATTATAGTATATATATATAGTATATATAGATTATATTATATTTAGTGTATATATATATATATATTATATTTATATATATAATTAGTGTATATATATAGTGTATATATATATATATATACGAGTATATAGCTATGAATGGAACTAGGTGAAGTATATGGCAACCAGTTGGTTGAAACAGCTCGCCTCCGGTGTCATCAAACATGGCGGGTGGGAAGTCCGCGAACCGGTGATAACTTGGGACAACCTTTTATAGGAAACCAGGGGGATTCCATGAGATTATGATATTTATGTTACGTATGGTTGGATACGTTTATGTACTTGTATGTATAGTAGGTATATAATAGTGTGATAACGACCATACAGTGTTTGTTGGTGGATTGTTTGCGGGTGTCAAAATCAAAACTAGAATCATCGATGACAATCTAGCAATATATATATATATATCATAGTTATATAGAGTGTAGGGATGACAACCATACAGTGGCGGGTTGACGGTTTATGGATGGTATAATACAAACATGCGGGACACACATTCCATGATTTTGGTGGATGTTCGAGACACCCAAATGTGAGGAAGTTTAGGGGATAGTTGCTACATCTATGACCGACAAGATTCCAGTTTATGTTGACCCAAACCCAAGGATTATTGGGAAACAGGAAAGAATAGCTGTAAACATAATCTTGTTTGGTGGTTTCAAACAGTCTGTATGTGCCATCAACCAGGCTCGTATGTATGTGCATTGCAAGCACTTTTGACGGATTTCTGCGTTACTATATAGCAAGAATTGCTGTTGTTTCATCATGCGGTATGTGTTTTTTTTGTGCGTCCGAAAATGGGGTATCCCATGACAGCGAATCCCCCTTGTTTGGACAAGGTCATTGTTTGACAAAACCTCCATGGTTCATGGCAGATTGATTAGGGGACGCCCCAAAAGTATATGCCAAAAATAGTGATCACTAATCAGAATTCTTGTGAAATGTCTGCCATTTTTGGCCGAGAGTATGCCATTGGATCAATCTAAATCTATGGGTGTGTTTTTTGCCATTTTTGCAGACCTCATACCGTGACCTCATGGAATCCATGGTTAAGGGAAATCAACCCCAAATCATTTCATGGCATATGGAATTACAATATGCTACTGTATTACAATCAAGCTCATGGAATATTTCGGATAATATTCACCTAAAAAGCATCCTATAGCTATATTCATTGCTTTGTTGCTCGCTATTCCATTGGAGAATGAGGCCCATCTCATTGTGGCGCTCCGAAGCTGGTGATGGCCGAGAATTGCAGAGCAACTTCCTGCCCATTTGACGGGGGGTGCACAGCTGCTGGGTGTGAAGCTCCAGATTCATGTTCGGTTGGTCAACAAGGATGTTTTTGTTGGGAAACATGGAGATTTAAGCTGAGTTGAAGTAATTCTCTAGATTCAGACCAGCCAAAAATTTGTCAGTATGTTCTTGATGCGAGTCAAAATCTCAGAGCTCAGTATAAAAGATCAGTGCACAGTGCCCAAAAAACGGGTTCCAGACGTTTCATCCGTTTCAGCTGTGCACCTGCCTGTCCGACCTTGCTAACCTGCAAAACGCATTGGTTTTTTCCAGAAGGTCTTTGTCTTGAACTGGAAGTGGGCCCCCCCAAGTTTCTACAGCTATTAGCTACCAATTTTGGGCGAAATGGAACGCAAGTTACATGGATTCTCTGCTAGAGAAGTTTGCAGCCGTTTGTACATGGCTCCATTTGTTCTACGCATTTTTCTGATGTCGTAAGATGCGGGAACGGTTGAGCTTGCGTGCTGTGTTCAAGCAAATTAAAAGCCTCCAAAGATGGTCCAAAAATGGATGCCCCAAATTCCCAGCGAATGTTCAAATTATTATTTAATAAGCATTTCGAAATTTCGAAGCCACTCAATTGGGGATTTATCACCAGTTCCAAATCCACAACGTTTGCAGAATGCAATGAATTGATCGGAACATGTACAGGACACCCTTATATTAATGTCCTTGTTTAATCTTGTTTAATTTTCCTTGGCCAAAATGCATCCATTGAAAGTTTTTTACTTGAACAAATATATCAGTTCGCTACATTGATCTTTAGATGTTTCTTGTTTTTTGAAGAAATCCATAGAAATCCAATAAATCATTATTAAAGATCAAATCAATGGTTAAATCCAATAATACCAATTATTGGTCATCATAGTTTTTTACCATTGATTTGACCAAACATGTAGTGACCGTCGTGACCGAAGCCTGCAATGGTGGTAAGGGGAATGATCCCAAGGAAGGCCTCATTTCAGGTGAGTGAAATACTATAGTATAATATACATTAATATACTATATTTTAACTGGTTGGTGGTTTCAAACATTTTTGGAATTGTCCATAATATATGGGATAATCCGTCCCATTGACGAGCATGTTTTTCAAGATGGTTAAAACCACCAGCAAGTATAACATGTTCCTTGAAATTGAGGAGCCTGCTTCTCGTTCACTCTGCTTTCCATGTCCTGCACACTGCATGGACGGAAGGCTGTAGACAGTTCCAGCTGCGGCGTTTGTCACAAGTCTTTCAGTTAAGGGCTCAACAGCCCAAGCGGTAGCGGTACCAGGGTGTTTTCACGTAGGGAATAACCATACGAAATATCCCAGGTGTATCCTGGCTGTATATATTTGGGCTCTACTGTATATATATTTATATTATATATATATATACATAATATATATACATATATACACATAATATACATACATATATATATATATATTATGTGTAATATATAACTATATCTCTATATATTTACCATATAAATTATACGAGTGACACGCCGTTTCTCTAGTCTTTTCACGTGACTCTGGTGACTCTGGTGGTTCCACTGAGCGTAGCAGCCCAGTTCGAAGTGGACCAAAAATGACCCAAGTGGACTGGCAGATTTATAACCTATGTATATAATAAATATCATATATAACCTTGTATTATATACTTAGTACATAGATTTATATGACCCTTGTTTTAAGATAGAATCATACGGAATCTATGTATTAATCTATGTACTAAGTGGGATGAAGCACTGAACCACCAAGTGACTAAGAGAAGCTTCATCCCCTGGTCATTGAAAAAGGTGGCTTCCTACAGGGGCCCCCGTTTACGATAGCGTTCAGTTGGTGAACATAACTCTATGGTTTATGTATATATGGTTTATGTTGCTTCTAATATCTTCTAAGTATGTTTTATTCATGTTTTTTTAAACCAAGAAACATCACTGGGGCCCCACATTGCATCAGCAACTTGGACGACTTGTGCCGCTGGCATCTGAAGGATGTATTACTACTTACTACTTAGCTGTTTCGCGTCGCGTGTCTTTCGAGGAACAGGGAGGAGACGGGCCTGTTACGTCGAAAACGAGGCTCCAAAACAGCCTTGGCATCCTTGGCTGTCTAGGGAAAATGATGGGAACATGGTGATTCACCACATGATTTTTGGGGGTCCTGAAAAACCTCTTGGAGATCGTTCATGACAAGCCATGGGGCCCCATGGGGGCCCATTGGGCCTCAATCGTCTCCTGATCCACCGGAAGGACGGACTGGTGACAGACCGTGGTTCTTCCGTTGACCCCGGATCTCGAGAGACGCACCCGCTCGGAGCAGCTAAACGAATCATCTGGACATGTCTGGCTCTAGGCAGCTGGAGTCCGGGTTGTGTGCGGTGCACACAGATCCGAGGTGTGATTGGACGACTTGAAAGCTGTTAGAGATGTTAAAAGATGTTCAAAGCAGCACTTTCAGGTGACTTGAAGGATCTTTTTCTGGGCAGTTTTGCAGACACCTCCCAGATTTTTACTTTTTTTCCTGGCAGCAATGTGTGGGTGAAACGTCTCGTTCTCGTCCTCCAATGTGCGGATTTGCTGTGTGCTTCAACCACCAAACATTAAGACATTAAGATGTTCATTGTTCCAAGCTTCAAAATGTTTACAGGGGTCCCCCATAAGATCAAACAGTGATTTACAGGATGAGATATTTACATATTCTTGCTCCATAGTTTCGAAATGTTTCGAATGCATCCAGGTGTCTAACTGTTCTATGTTGTTTTCGGTTCCAACATGTTTCAATTAAGATTATCAATGTCGTGTATACTCTGAAAGCATTGCTGCCAGCGTATGACCTGCACTTTGACCGCCCAGCACGCAGCATCTGGGAAGTTTCTAGAGCCTTGCTCTCAATTTCTGAAGATGTTTCTCATTAAAATTGCACTGCTAAATCCATTGATGTCAATGGGTTTTTTCAATGGGAATTTCAATGGGATCTCACGGGACGCCACGAACACGGGTTTTGGAGGTTGGATTCCCAGGGTTTTTGGTCCAAGAATCAGCATATCATGACATGAGAATGATATGTTCATGCCTGGTTATGGTATTAATCATGATAATGATGATCATATGATTAATTATATAGAATGGTATTCATATAATTAGTATTTTTGCTGGTTTTGGTGAAACAATCACTGGTTTCTGGGTTCTCAGAATGGTATGTTCTTTTTCCCTGTTGTCTTTCTTCCAGAGATATTATTTTGTGTGCTGGCTGGTCCCAGAGGCAAGGATAAGGCTTGCTTTGAAAGAGAACCAGGCTTTTGCGGAATGTGTGGCGTTTATTTTGCGGATAAGGCTGCGATGTTCGGCAGTTACAATTCTGCACCAGTGATTGGAGTAAACTTCTTAGTGGCTTCAGTTGTGTTTCGCCCATGTCTGAAGATAGGACGATGATCTGAATTGAGTCATGTTGTTTTTTCAAGTTGAACCCCGAGAAGCAGCGAGTGTCTAGTCCAAACCAGTTCCACAGTTCCACCGGTTGGGTGGATTGTCGCAAAGTTACATGTCATGCAGGAATGTTTCGGAATGCAACGCTCATGGCGGCTGGCTTGACAATCAACCCTGTCAACCCTTGGGAATCTTTGGAGAAGATAAGGGATTTGTTCCATCAAAATCTGATTCTCGAGTCTGAAGAAAAGTATGGAATATCATCTTGTAGATGTAGAATATCAGCTGGTTGGTGGTGACTGGAACATGATTTTTTTTGACTTTCCATATTAATTTGGAATAATCAATCATCCCAGCTGACTTTCACTCACTCCATCATTTTTCAGTTGCGAAAAACCACCAGCCCTTGCGATTTCTGGGATCAGCCGATTGGATCCAGGCTTCTCTTGTGGTTTCAGCGTGTACTGGAAATTGCGCCTTAAAACACCCCCAAAATACAGGGCCTTGTGATGTGAAAACTCTCCCACCATCTCCCAATAGGCGCGGCGCACGCGCGACTCCTTTCTGCGACCTTTGCGTCCTACACGGGTGCCGTCAGAGCCCCAGTGCTGCGAATGCTGCGGCTGCGATGTGGTGAAGTTGGGGATGCCGCCGGGGAAAACGTTGAAAGATCTGGAAAAGCAATGGTTTCCTGAGGATAAGGATCTAGAAATTGTGGCTTCTCCACATGGAAACGTTAAAAATCGTTTTTTAGTGGAGGGTAGCACTGGAAATAATCATCTGATATAATTTGCAAACCATAATTTGGGCAGATTTCAAGATCAATTCCTGGGACTAGAGAGAGGGCATTTTTCGGCTGCCGATGCTGAAACCCCGCAGCCATCTCTCGGAACAACAAGCGAAGAATTTACGCCCAGAATTGATTTCGTGATTGGAGATAAATTTCATTGTGGAATATTGTGGATAGAAATGGATAGAATAGAATTTGCTGAGCCTGAGGTACGTGGTCACACCCTTATATAATATTATATATATAGAGATAATATATACATTACATACAGTACCAGTACCTGTACTGGATTCTCGAACATCCATACTCCCAAAAAAACAGAACATGTCCCTAAGGTGGTTGCCACTGCAGGGCGACGATCGGAGGCTGAGGCGCTGTTCCCAATCATTTGTTGTGCCATAGCTTGCCTCTTTACACGAAGTCCAAACAGAACCTGGACCATGATGGCCACAAACCACTTTTTAACTGGCCTATATCTAGACCCTCTACCTGGAAAATGGAAAATGGATGAACATGGGATCATATGATCTTTTTCTTCGGACTTTCACCAAGTTTCTATGGTACTTAGAGGGTTTGTTGGTAGAATCTTGAATTGGGATAGACAATGACATAGACTTCCTGTTGCTATTCATGGAGGCTCACCCCACTTAATTAATAGCCTGGTTGGTGGTTTGGAACATGTTTTATTAGTTTTATTCCATATATTTGGAAAAATAATCCCAACTGACTTTCATATTTTTCAATACCACCAACCAGTAGCTGGTTAGGATTCCTGGGATCACCAGAAAGTCATGGCGCACTGGCGCAGTTCGCTGTTCCTGGCGCACCGCCCACGGGACCTGCGTGCCTTGGTGACGTGAAAAAAAACCTGGTGCTTTTACGGAGGTTTCATGGAGGCGCAGAGGTGTGGTTTTGGGGTATAACTGGGATTTACCCGGCCTGGTTTCTACATACAAAAAACGATGGAAAGATCCACCATTTTTAATGGGTAAATCAACTATTTCGACTGGGCCATTTTCAATGGCTACGTTCAATTAGCAGAGGGTAGCCCACAGAAATTATACAAGACGTGAGATTGAACGCGCAAAACATCGGGAGTTAAACCACCATGGATCGGGGGCAAGCAGATTGATAAGTCATGGTAAGTCAATGGATCGGTTTAAGGGAACATCTGTAGGAAGATCAATGGATGATTGCTGATGTTCGGACCGAACTGGATCTATGAGGAACCGATTTAGAGGTACCATATGAGGCCTATGATTCAGGGCTAAAGTTCATGGAATATCCGCACAATATATGGCCTTATATGGTACAGTACCTAGATTTTGGGGTCCTGAAAATTCCTACTACAGTGAACTTTTGTATCTATCATTGCTGATTAATTTTGTATATATCATTATGATTCTCTTGTTAGAAAAGAATATGACAATATGAGTCTGTCTGAAAATCTGTACACCAGAATTGCATATTTTTTTGGGGGGGAAACTGATGATCAATTGCTGGTTGGGATAGCCCGTTTTCAGAGAATCCCGTTTGCATTTTCATTGCCAGAATTTGCCAGATATGCCGAAGGGTAAACTGTTGATATTTTTCATGGTATAACTGCCAGTTCACCACTTTTTGCAGATCTATGCATTTATATGTTTTAATAGATTTGCGGCATAGAGCATATGGGAATGTTAGGATCCGCGTTTGGTGACTGTCATATTGGTATTTCTTGTCAATTCAGCAGGCTGATCACCCTTTCGATCCTGTGAACATGGAATTCCAGCTTGGCTCAAAGAATTCACCTTTCGATGGGTTTTGATGGGTTTTTGCTCATGGAAGATATGGAAGTTGCTTCAACTGATGGGTTTTTTCCTAACCTTCCCAAGCCGCCTGGTTGACGGCTGTGAAATTCCCACCAGGCAGAAAGCGTGGCCACACGTAGCTGCCGGGATTTGTGTGCGCCTGATAGATGCTGCCGCCTTCGCCGAAAACAGGGTAGTTTTGGGACTGGAAGTTGAATGAGGGTAGCACTTGGTAGATTCACCAGCACTTGGGAGACTTGGAGAAGATTTGAGATTCAGAGTTGATGAAAGTTGGATTGCGACATGTAACATGTGGATGGTGTGTCCATGGTGAGCCCCAAAAGGGGGGCACTTCCGAAGACGCCGAATGAAACTTGGGTGCTGGATCCTCCATGCAATCCAACGTTACAAGTATAGCATATCCCAAAATTCGAAGGCTAGCAGTATCCCTAGGGAGCTGCGACTTGGGAACGCGTGCATCAATTTTTTACTACAAGATCAATTGAAGGATGTCAAACCCTTGAGGCAGTTTTGAGGAAGTTCTTAGCAGCAGGTGGCCTAGACCCTCCAAGTACCCATAAGAACGGTGTTTTACCCATTCATGATTGACCTTGTAATTTAAGTACTGTTTACATTTGTTTACTGTTTATCATCCTTTTTGGGGTATATGGAGGGTCGAGGTATTGTCTAGGTATTCCTTGGGAATTCTATTCTATTCCTATAACTACTTTGATTGTCTTTGTTGACGGCCAAGGTACTATTGAGGGTTTTTTCACCACCAACCACCACTGAGGTGTGGGATAGCACATCACCTCGAAGCTCTTCGCTCATTGCTCACGATGGTGCAGAGGTCCAATGACTGGGCAAAAAAAATTGGGAGTGCAGGTCGAATTGGGTCAAAATTCAAGACTACCAAGCCTCAACTTTACTTTTTGTACTGTTCTATATTTACCGTATTCATATATATATACATATTAGCAATGTCTTACTATGTTGGGATTGATTTGACCAGGCATGTGTGTTTCTCACAAAAAGTGTGAGCCCGGCCCATGGCCCAGCCAGGCAGCGCTGAGTAGCGCCATGCCGCCTGAGTATTCCTGTATCACCTGGGTTCGGCGGCCCAAGTGGTGAAAACCAACGTGGAATCCTCAACTGGACCTGGAAGATGTCCTATTATATATTATATGTCCTTATATATATTATATTATATTATATTATATTATACTATATTATATTATATTATATTATACTATATTATATTATATTATATTTATACTATATTATATTTTATTATATTATATTATATATCCTCAACTGTTGAAGATTCTAGAGTTTTGGGGTTCCAGATAGGTCTTGAAGGGCATACACAGTTATACACACGCTCACGATATCAGGGAGAAGCTAGAAGGATTGGCGGACTGATATTCCGCATATATCCCCAACATAAATACTTCAAATTTAACGACCAACCAATATTGTGCTTGTTCTACATCAGTGGCTTTGCTGTTTGTGTCTTCCAACTGTCAGCCTTTATCCCAGGGAAAGCTGCTTGAAAATACATGTTCATCCCCTGGGACAAATTCAGTTTGGAGGTTGGGGTTGGTGGTCTTGGTAGTGTCTGGGCTGGTTGGTGTTGGTGGTGTTGTTACTGTTGGTTTGTTACGTGGTGGTAGTACTGGTGGCTGCCTTGTTTTGGGATCCCAATCACCAAGTTTTCTGAACAGTCCCATATTTCGATGAAGGTACATGTGACAGGAACCCCCCATTTTCAGTGGTAACAAATTGCAAGAACGGGGTTTCAACCTTCTTAGCCGCTTCATTCATGATCTATACTCTAGTACTCCATTAATTTATCATAATCCATTACTAATTTTAAAAATTAATGGAGGGTATAGATGGATGTATGGTTGGATGAATGGACGGACGGACGGATGGATGGATGGGTGGGTCGGTAGATAGATATATATATATATTAATAATTATTATCTATCTTTATAACTATATATAGTAATATTAATAACTATAGTTAACTATATATATTAAATAATATATTATTATCCATTTGTTAACTATTTGGTAACCTCTATATTATTAACTATATCCATTATTAATTAATATTAATATCTATAATAAGATATTGTAACTGCAATTGTTGAATCCATTTGGTTCCCCTCAAACTAACCCTTCTCTCCAGCCGCAAGCAGGTGGCCAGTCAGCAGCGTCTTCTCTGCGGAACCAAGGTGAAGCCCTCGGTGAAGCCATGACGGGAGATATGATGAGTTTCATCATGAAAACAAGATATTACTGGGATATTGGGGGTGGTCTCAATCAATGAATCAATTTTGATTTGTGTTTTTTTTGTTTTTTTTGTTTGTTTTTTTCTGGGGTCTATTTGCCTATTTGCATATATAGTCATATAACTATGACTTATTATTTGCGTACGTAATCTGGTAAACCCAGGTAGTAAACTATTCCATTTACCAACCATGACTGGAGTCATTTTTCATTATCCCATTGCCAGAGCTTTACGGTCGTTCTCAATCTTAATCAATCATTTTTCTGAGGTCTATCTGCACATAATGATGTTCATATGTAATGTTATACGTATGAAATATGGTGGTTTACTCATTATATATATGTGTATATATATACTCTATATATATATACACTATATATATATATATACACTCTATATATATATATATATACACTCTCTCTCTATATATATATGTATATATACACTATATATATATATACTCTATATATATATACACTCTCTATATATATATGTATATATACACTATATATATATATATACACTCTATATATATACACTCTCTATATATATATGTATATATACACTATATATATATACACTCTATATATATACACTCTATATATATATATATGTATATATACACTATATATATACACTATATATATACACTATATATATAATATGGCTGCAGCTCAAAATATAAGGTCCCACACAGGCGATCTCCGTGATCCATACCCCCTTTTTCATTTGCGTGACTCCTTCGTGCAAATTCGCCCGGATCACCACGTAGCGATCCATACCCGTTGTTTGAACCATATATTGTATACATCGATATGTTTCAATCAAATGTCAATATATGTGAATATATATATATATATGATCATGATTTATATTTAGTTGTGAATGTTGTTGTGCCTGAACATATATATATATGCATACAAATGAATATACATGTCCACAATTCTACACATGTGTTCTTTGTTTATATATAAGTACGTAGCTATGAGTTGCATTTCTTGGTTTCAGTTATGTTTTTCTTCAATCGCCACCAACAGGATGATTGAGCACGGGATCCGAAGGGTGGACATCCAATGCCCTAAGCGGGATTGTCATGAGCATTAGTGAATTCAGAAAGATTGTCTTTTTCTAGTAAGTAGAGTCTCAAAAAAGGTAAGGTTCTCAATCTCAATTGAAAATTCCACGTATTGTGGATGTTTTGAAACGAGTCAAGGGTAAGTGTGAATGCTTGAAACCACGTAAACAGACATCACGTGCAGAGTTGGAAACACAAAAAGAAAAATCTGGAACTTGAATCATTGGTTTCGAAGTGGCCCTCAGAAGTGTTCAGTTTCTTTGTTCTGCCACTTTCGTGGGTTTTGAAGTTATGCAACTTTTATTTTTCAATTTGTCAAACAAGAGATTAGACAAAAAAACACAAAATCCAAGTGATTAATCTATCAAGCATGAGGTTGCACAGAACGAAGAAACCCAATGTTTTGTTGATTCATTTTCGGAACATGCATTTGGATGCGCAAACATATCTTCCACTGGGCCGCCAGTCTGGTTAAATGTTTCACATTTCATGTTCTTACTAGCCGCATCGCTTGTGGCCACGGTGTTTTTTCATATTCGCAGTCGTTTGCATGCCATGTGGTTGCGGGATCAAAAAAAAATCGGAGCCTGGTCTTCCATTCTCAGAAACAAGAGCTTACTACCGTGTCGCATCAAGTGACATTCTGGTTCCTGTAAACCTTTGTTTCGAAAGCGGAATGGATGTGGACATGTCAGATTCGTGATGCCCTACATCGGCGCGTTAATGCGGCCAGGATGATCCCGGCGCATGCTGTCTGGAAACGCGACTAACCTGATGAAAATTGATGTCATAGAGACACAACTCTGGTTGAAATGCGAAGCTAACCAAATCATACCAAATCAATGTTTATGATTATATGATGTTATATGATTTAGATTGGTCATATGAGTCATATCTTCGTTGTGTTTTGAATTCAGCATCGCTTGTACAATGTATGTGTTTGCAATTTCTTCCGGGACGATTCCCCCGCACAATGATCCCCCCATGCCCAAGAGCTTGGTCCTGAACTCCCCCAGTGTTACTGGTAAGTCCCCCAGCAACATGCCTTTCCTGATGGAAAAAAACCCGACCCCTCTGAAAAATGGTGAAAAATCATGAACTGAATAGTGGTTGATTCATCCAGATGGGGGCGGTTCATCCAGATGGTGGATCCCCAAAACCATAGGTTTCAAGACTAAAAATTGTCTTATTTTCGATGATTTGGGGGTTACCCCCACTTTAGGACAGCTCTATTTTTCTGGGGCTTATCTAGGATGGAATGTCAACTCCTCAACCTGTTATTCCATTGTAATGGCTGTGAAGAGGTATTATGAGGTATTCTCTAAATCCACGATGATCATTCCCAATATATTGGGAAATTGTGGCCAACTCGCAGCAATTATTACGGGCAAACCCCCCAGTTTGCCCGCGCCTACGTCGACGACGTCCCCGAAGATCAAGAAACACGGTGTTTTGTTGGACAAAATGCACATATGTCCATGATCTTGGCTTTCATCTTGCAACGCACAGCTTAGGCTACCTGTGCGTTGAATGTTAGAACATCATCATCATCATCATCATCTTCATCTTCATGTTCATTTTCATCAACAACAACATCAACAACATCAACCCTAAACCCTGAACTCCTTGAAAATTCCCATGAATATAAAGTTCAACAGGGGTGCGGTTTTGATGATTCCTTAGAAACTCTGTTGAAACATGTTGAATATCCCCTTTGAATGTAAAGTTTAACGGGGGTGGAAATTGTATGATTCCCTAGAAACTCTGTTGGAACATGCTGAATGTTCCCTTTGAATGTTAACTTTTAACACTCCCTTCAATATCTCCTTAACAGTTGTGTGGGCGAACTGGGGGGTTTGCGCGTATTATTACTATATGTTTTACAATTCCCAATGTATTGGGACATATTTACCATATATTGTATATGGAAGTATTCTGAATTCCCCCCCAAAAAAAATATATCTCATAGTGCCATGGAATCTTCAATATCAGTAGCAGGATTATGGTTGGCAATCTCTTCCTTTGGAATATCGAAGATTTATTGAAAAAAAACTGCAAAGGATGATATATGTTTTGAAGATTCCATGGCACTATGATATATTTTGGGGGGGGAACCATAATCAGTAGCAGTTTTTGTCTTTGGCGATGCAGGCGGGCGAGCTGCGCGCCTTTGATTTACGGATGAAGCGCTGGACGCAACGCGTGGAGGTGGGGAAAAATACGGGGGGAAGGGCCGGGTGCATCCGCCAGGGGTCCAGGGGGAAATTCATGGTGATTTAATGGGATTTAATGGGAATTTATGGTGGTTTAATGGGAATTTATGGTGGTTTAATGGGAATTTATGGTGATTTAATGGGATTTAATGAGAATTTATGGTGGTTTAATGGGAATTTATGGTGGTTTAATGGGAATTTATGGTGATTTAATGGGATTTAATGGGCATTTATGGTGGTTTAATGGGAATTTATGGTGGTTTAATGGGAATTTATGGTGATTTAATGGGAATTTATGGTGGGTTTAATGGGAATTTATGGTGGTTTAATGGGATCTAATGGGATTTACCCTCTGGTAAAGATACAAAAAACTATGGAAAATAACCATTTTCAATGGGTAAATCAACTATTTCGACTGGGCCATTTGAAAAATAGCAAACTGTAACAGTCATTACCAGGGGACAACATGTGAAAACCTGATGGTGAAAATAATACGGTGAATCCAATGATGAAACCAATGGTTTTCAGGGGATTTCACCTAATGGAAGAAGGCTCCAGTTAACCTTAAAAAAACGTGAAAAACCTTGGTGATCCAATGGTTAACTGAATGGTATTGCCTAACATAGACCTGGAAAACCAACCATGAAAGTAGATCATATTCCGAGGAAAGCAATGCCTTTTCCACATCTGTCACATCTAAACGTGTACCCCAGGGTAATCATCACTCTCCCAGCTTAGACATGGAGGTGTCCTGAAATAGTACCTAAAAAAATCATCCATTTATAGATGGAATGGACTTTCCGTTATAAACCATCCATTTTGGGGTACCCTCATTTGTGGAACTCCCCAAATGGTTTTGTACATGTTCTTGCTTGCCCCATTTTCAGAGGCACCCAGATAGTCAACAAGGCACCAGTTCAGTTACACCACATTATCTTTTTGGGAACCTTGAACATAATGTACAAAGCATAACAATTAATTGTCATTCATCCCAATAATAATCTGTAAATCCCAATACAGCATAATTGTCATGATCATGCATCCCAATTATCATTCATCCTAATCATAACAATTATCATAACATTAATCCCAACGTATCTAACATAGCTATGGAAAATGGCCACCGAAATAGTTGATTTACCCATTAAACACTGTGATTTTCCATAGTTTTTTGTATGTTTACCAGAGGGTAAATCCCATTAGATCCCATTAAACCACCATAAATTCCCATTAAACCCACCATAAATTCCCATTAAACCACCATAAATTCCCATTAAACCACCATAAATTCCCATTAAACCACCATAAATTCCCATTAAACCACCATAAATTCCCATTAAACCACCATAAATTCCCATTAAATCCCATTAAATCACCATAAATTCCCATTAAACCACCATAAATTCCCATTAAATCCCATTAAATCACCATAAATTCCCATTAAACCACCATAAATTCCCATTAAACCACCATAAATTCCCATTAAATCCCATTAAACCACCATAAATTTCCATTAAATCCCAGTAAACCCCGTGAAATTGCCAGAGGCTATGATTAATTCATCCCACTCAGAATGTGTGTTTTTTGAACCCAAGGGCTTCATCCGCCATCCCAGACCTGCGGGGTTTCCTTGGGGGTACCCCAAGTTATGGTTTTTTTTTGTTCGTGAAAAAGCCCAATCTGCTGGATGATTTGGGGGTACCTCCTTTTTTTTGGAAACCTCCATTTATTTTGTTAAACCACTTTTAAATGGTTGGTTTTATACCCGTGAACCATCATCAAACACAATTGTTGATACAATTAGTGGTGTTTTGTTTGATATGTTAGTTTTGACGCAAAATCCTTCATCTAATTGAACCATTTAATCATCGATGATGATTTCATCACAATGGTTTATCTCAATGGTTTAGAGTGTTTAAGTATCATGAATTGATGCATTATTGATGGTTCCCCATTTCATCACTATAATTTTGATACTATGTGATGTTATCATAATGGTTCATCATAGTGGCGTGTTATATTATATCACCATGATTACCCATCATTCGGTCACCATTCAACACGAAATTTTGGAATCATGCCACAAAGCACTATAAATTGGGAGTTTACATTACTTTAACATGCAAACATGGGCTCGCAACCCTGAAATAGTCATTGATTTAATGAGATTGCTATAGTACAATGTGGCAACCTTTTGACCTCTGCTGGTTGATGGTCAGAAGTTTCAATATTTTTTTGAGTATGGTTGCTTGTGGTGTGATCGTGGGGCAGGCATGACACTGGGCGAACGCAGCACAGGGCACATGAAACACCGGGGTGTTGGGTGTTGGTCAATACAACAATACTGCGTACACGGAGGTTTCCTGGGGTGTACCCTCAAATCATCCATTTTAATAGGATTTTCCACTATAAACCATCCATAACTTGGGGTGCCCTCATTTATGGAAACCCCCATATGATGAAATGGTTTACCGCAAGTTTGATAGGTAATGGTCATGATACAGTACATATATATAGATACATATATTATCATATATTCTTCGGACACTGGATCTTGATGAGATGACAGAATCTGACTATGATATCCAATGATGTGAGATGTGATGACCATGGTGACTTATGTTTTGAATTTGATGTCATATGATGTGATGCAAAAGGCACCATGACAATGGGAGGTTACAGCGGTTACAGTATGATTTTCAAATATGTTTAACACCACTTACTAGAAATTTCAAAGCAACACCGCAAAGTTAATTCCCATTTGCCTGTCTGTTCCGTAATCTTTGTGTATCGAATATTCCCGTTTAAATGAGTTGTAGCAGCTGCCGAATTTTCCGGGTGAAAATTCGAGATTGGCTGGTGAGTTTGAGTCGGCAACTACTCAAGTTTGAAGCATTCCATGTTTCATCATATTTCGGCTGGTTGGTGGTTTCAAACATTTCTTATTTTTCCATAGATTGAGAATAATCATCCCAACTGACTTTCATGTTTTCAGAGGAATTCAAACCACCAACCAGTCTGTATATGTTGTATAAACTATCCCCAAATGGAACATTTTTTGGTAGGTTTATTGTTGGGTTTACCACATCAACCAGCGCATGGTGAGGTTGGATAGAATTAAAAAAACCCTAAGGGAATCAACCATGGCTAGCTGGAAAATCTCCCATTTATCGATGATTGTCCATTGCCACCTTTGATTACCGGAGGGTTTTTTTACACACATGCCCACTGAAACATCAAAACCCACTTTTTCATCCGGGTTGAAAAATAATAACCTGGTTAATGATTTTAAGCGTAATCCAAAAAAAAGAACGATGTATATGAATGATAGCTGGGAGTTTGTAACTCACCCTGCTTTCAAAAGGTTTTTTGACGCGGTTTGAAATCTCAGGCGCACTCCGAGCCCATGAGATATTGCTTTGTGATGGAGTCGATACTTGGCGAATCCAACATTTCCTTGAAAGAGTCCAATAAAAAGATGGATGATCTGAACATTGGATCGTGTTGATCCTTGAAGCCACTGAAAACTTTATACATCTATTTACATCCATGATATTTTTCATGGTTTTTTCATGGGGGTTCCCCTTGGAATGTCGTTAAAAAAAGGTGGTGAGTAGCCATAAGTCGTAGCCATGTTCAAATTTCAGGGAGTGTCCAAGGGACAAAGGACGGCGAAGATGTCATGAAATGAGTTGCTTTAAGATTCGTATCTCTTGGGCATTCTTGGGCTATCTAGGATACACTATGAAATCTATGAATGGGACAGCAGACTTTGAGCTCGTCTATGTATTTATATATAATTTATATACTTAATTTTGAGACAAGTTGACATCTATGTTCAAGCATGTTTGAAAAGATCACTGTTCGGAGATATAGACCGGACGATACTTTCTCAAAATTGCATTTGAAGGCAGAACGTGAAAGATAATCTATAAGAGGGGGGGTTATTATTTCCTCAATAGAACCGCAACAGAACCGTTTGAATAAAAAATCACAAGAGCTCAGAATCATCTCCATTTATTCTCCGCAGATTTACACGCCTGGAATTTGACGGATCTGGTCATTTTGGGGGCCCATACGGGAGCTGTTTCAGTACCGGAGAATGGGATTACTTCAAGCACATCCCTTGCATTTTCTTTTAGGATTCCGTGGGAGTTTCCAAGTGTCATATCTGGTTCCCCATTGTTTATTATATATCCCTGGTCTTGGGGGATGATGGTCAATATCACCTGATGATGTTTAAACATAATGCAATTATGATAAGCTTTAAACGTAGTAATATTATATATGTAGGGATTATATTGGCGTCCTTATCTTTAATTAATTGGGATAGCAAGATAAATTATATAGATATAGATATAAATATAAATATATACATAATAATGTATATATATATATACACATTGTATATGTGTCTATTCTCCACATAATTGAAAACAAATTCTTAGAGTACGCATTCCATGCGACATTGAGCGAGGACACAGCAAGTGGCGACATTGAGCGAGGCCGCCGAGCTGAAGTTGTGGAGCCTCAAACGTGGCCAGCCCGAAACGGCGAAACGGTTGAGGCGTCTCGGGATTCTCCTTATGGATTGGATGTGTTGAAGGGAACATCTAGAAACCGGAAACTCTATGGGTTTTTTACATATAAATTTTACTATGGAAAATATAAGGGTTTCCGGTTTCAATTTTCCGGTTTCAACCAATCGGATGACTTATGGATTAGAATTCATCACCAATATTAGTGGATAGTATGATATAGTCAATAAAGAGCTGTTAGTGAACGCTTTTCAAATGGATATCAAGGCCACATAGCATTATATACACATGTCAAATTATTATCGTCATGAGTAGATAGAATATGGGATTTTTAAACATAGTTCCATTGCAGTAAGTTTGTGAAGTGCTCATATTCTATCTACTCCAGGATGACTATACATCAACATAATTCGAAGTATATTGATTTATCTTCTAGATCTGGGTAAGCTGTCCATGCATTCATACATGTATATATATAATATATACATATCATATACACATCTCCGATATCGATATGGTTATAGGTACATAATTATATAGAAGAATATATATATACAGGACACATCATGAGATACAACCATGTGAAATAGCCGAAGCCTTGAAGAACAGAATGACCTTTGGCTGTGTCGCCTGTGGGATGTTCCACATGTCTATGGGAAATTGCCCAGAAAAGATATACAAAACAGAAGCTCATGAATCGAGGGATTTGGGGCTTTCTGAACATTGATCCCAAAAACTCTGGCTTTCACTAAAATTTCTGAAGAATTTTTGGATGATTTGAGGTACCATGGGTACCACGGTTCCATTTCTTCGAATGGTTTGTTGAAAACACCGGGGCAGGAGGCTCAGCCACGCCACTGAAAAACAACACGATCCACTGAGACTTGGAACTCATAGACACGATCCCGGCACTTCACCGACCCAGAGGGGTGCGGCTCTGCCAGGGGTGAAATGCTGGTGGGAGGGGTGAGGGGATGATGTTTTTTCGGAGCCATATAAATTCGAAGTCAAATGAATGTAAAGAAGAATAAGGATTGCCAAGGAAGATGGTGTTACAATAGCGAAGGATGCAGAGAAGCATGGATATTGATCAATCAGAAAACCTCACAGAAATTATTTATTGCCAAGAGCGGGTCAAGTTGTTGGGCGCCTCAAAAAGTGGAGACACGGCAGCGGGAAATTTTAAGTTTAGCGGTTCACAAGATTCTGAACCGTGATCCATGGAGAGAAAACAAGTCTTGAGGTGCGTTGATTGTAGATGTGTTTGAAGCTCTCTGATTATAGAGCACTGGGAGAAAATCAAAGTTGCTTTCATTGTGTCCATTTCAATGCATATACTTCAGAAACTCAGAGATACTCCAGTGATGCAGTATATGCAAGTAAAACATGCCATCTCGTTTTTTCATCATCATCATCAGCAGCATCATCAGCATCATCAGCATCATCATCATCATCTTCTTCATCATCATCATCATTATCATCATCATCAGCCGCAGCAGCAGCTTCAGCACCAGCATCAGCATCACCATCACCATCATCATCAATCAATCAATCAATCAATCAGTCAAACAATCAATCAATCAACCAATCAATCAATCAATCAATCAAACAGCCAACCAACCAATCAATCAATCATCATCATCAGCAGCAGCTGCAGCTTCAGCGTCAGCATCACCATCACCATCACCATCACCATCATCATCATCATCATCACCATCACCATCGTCATCGCCATCAATCATTACCATTACCATCACCATCACCATCACCATCACCATCATCATCATCATCATCATCATCGCCATCACCACCATCACCATCACCATCATCATCATCATCACCATCATCATCATCATCACCATCACCATCACCACCACCATCAATCATCAATCATCATGAATCATTAGTCATGTTGCAGAACAAACTCATTGGACTTCATGACAAACATAGAACCACTCTTTGATTCTTTGTTCATTCACCTTGGACGTTCCTGAAATCCATGGAATCACCCGGGTCTCCCAAAAAGTACCGTGTGGTTCAACTCGCAAAGGCTGGATCCATGGGACGAAGGATTGTGAAATCCTCGTTTTTGGGGCAGTTCACGTTTTAGGAACAGATTACACGGGCGTGGGGCGTCCCCCTCTCTTTAGGAAACCTCCACATTACTGAGATAAGTTGGGATTTCACCGTTGACACAGCATTGACACATCTGACAAAAATGCTGCCTTAAGCCAGAAAATGCCAGATTTCTGGCCAGTTCATTCATGGCGAAGATGGCAAGCATACCCTCTGGTAAACTAACATAACTATGGAAAATCACCATGATTAAGGGGAAAATCAACTATTTCGATGGCCATTTTCAATAGCTATGTTAGTTTACCGGAGGGTAACTAAAATAGCATGTTAGTTCCATTAACTCTGCAGATCTCGAAGTTTGGCTAGGAGTTTTCACAAAATCACGATTTTTCTGGATATGATCCATCTCCATTGTATGGTCCCCAAATATGTTCCACTCCCCTACATCCACCATGGTTTTTGAGGGTACTTATAGGGAAAGGAATATTGAATAGTCCATAATGTTCCATAACATCAACCCATTCTAGTATCTTACCTTCATGATGTTAACCAAATTTTCATTAAAATGATAACAATTTTCAACATAATATATAACTGTCATTATAGCAACTAGTAAAATTACATTCTACTACAATGTTCGTATTGTCATTGCTATCCTATTGTATACAATTGTGTAGTATTAATCATTGCACCATTATTCTCCTATACTATTGTCAGTATCCTTTAATTATATATAACTACAACTATAATTTGATCCCATTGTCATCCCTCAACACTTAATATACTATATACTATATACTGATTATTGGTAACTGATTTTATTTTTATTTTTTACTTATATATAACAATTGCATTGGTAGGATGATATCCCATGGCTATATAATGTTATATACTGATTCTCAACATGATCCAAAATTGGCTCTCCGAGGTGGCAACAACTGTCGGTTTGAGCTCCAAAGCCTTGAGCTGCGCCGCGCAGTTGTCGGACAGGCACCTGATCACCGGCGGTCAGGCGCTTAATTCGCGTGCCGAACGACGGCGGGGGCGAGGAGTGGAGGAGTGGTGAATCCCATATCCAAAGAAATGGTGATTAAATGGGGTATGAATGAGGGTAATATGGGATAGTAAGCATTTCTCTATGAATAGTAGTATTAATCACCATGAATATGAGGTAATATGTGATTAAATGGGTAATATGAGATAGTAAGCACCAACTCTATCCATTAGGTGCCCCAGTTCGTGAACGCTAAGTTGGTGAGCATAACTCCAGGGTTAGATACATATATCTATAATGAATGGGGGTTGTAAATCAACTTACTAGTGTTTCCAAAAATGGAGGTGTCCTAAAATGGGGGTACCCCAAACCATCCAAAATTAGACGATTTTAGTATTGAAACCCAGGTTTTTGGGATTCCCCATTTTAAGAAATTCCCATATACAAAATATGACGAATGAAAAAAAAACTCAAGAATGCAGATTTCATGAATGTGTTTTACAGAAAATATACAGAAAATTGGCGAGTGTTTTCCCTTGCAAAGCTGGGGGACAAAAAATCCACAGGAGGTTTTCGTCATGTGCCTTTAGCTGATCGTTTCATATGGATTAATAAAACTATGGTTAATTAAATGGATCCATAGTTTTATTAATCCATAATGATTAATTATTTGGATTAATGTGATTTAATCAATATGGAAATTCTGTGGAATGTCACCGAAAATGGGATTTGAAGTTTCAGATTGCCGCGTTGCCGCGTTGGAGAACTGTGGAGAATTGCTCGAGGGTATCGGGATGCATCCGGAAGGGTCAGTAGCAAACTTCACCTAGAAAAGCATCGATTGACCACTGAAGTTTAGTCATAAACCACTGAATTTCAGGATATCCAATGGTATCCAATGGTATCCAATGGTATCCAATTCCTAATCCATACCAAAGCATTCTAGGAATTCTAGGATTTGTATTTGAAACAGCCCCAAAACACTGAATCCCGACACCTGCAGGGGAACACAACATAGAAATATCTGACATAGAATACATGATAATCAATTCTAATCGATGATGATCAATGATAATAATTAATATAATTATATACAAGATGTGTTTGAATTTGTTTGATTGTTTTTTTTCCATGATATGTATATGGAAAATAAGCGTGTTTATGGAAAAATCACATGCAGCCCTGCAGGATGGGACCGTGGTGCTGACCCGCCTCTGAGACCAAAAGCTGCGGACTGGTGCGCCATGGTTTTCCACAACAAAAAGCTCAATAGCCACTTTCTTTGCATGTTTTGTGTTGCCAAATTCCGACTATATATATAATTGATTATACAGTAATTGTATGTATATATATATATGTTTATATAATATTTATGGTATATATAATTATTTGTATATATGATTTTATATATATATATACATGCGTATAGCCCTTTTCTTGGAAAGCGGTCAACTTGGGTAGAGAAAGTGACAGGTTTGATTGAACCCAGGCGACGGTTGATTGGATCTTCCTTCTGGGTGTAACAACTCTGGCTGTCAGCATCCACTGTGCATGCCCGCGTATACACGCAAGCAAGTCCACTCAGTTTTGTGTGCATACAGTACAATACACCTAGTGATGTTTTCCATAACATGTTCATGCTCTACCCACTCTACGTAGCAATTGCTCAGCACCTTTTGCGGTGCATATCTTGTGAACGCTTGCCTTGACATGCCACATGCATCGCACGCTGCCATGGATGTCATTTTTGCTCGTCATTTACCGAGTCGGCGCACTCTGGCGGGAAAGAGCGGGGGCAAAATCCCAGTTGCTGTAAGAAGTTCACTTGTTTCATCCTACATTTTCAAATCTGAATGACAGGATGATTCATGATTCCCACGTGGTAATTAAGACTATTGGCCGACAAAACACAACTTTTGTAGATTTTTAGTTTCTCTTTGAGCTGAGTTGCGATGAAACACAGCACTGGATTCTGATCCGAGTTATTTTCTCTTTTTTGGAGTAAACCCGCAGCAACCATGGATTGTCCACTGAAACAGACCACGAGAGGCTGGATTTAGGGTCTTGAAATTCCTAGCCGCAATTTGTACACCTCTTCTTTTCTTCCACAGCATATGGAGTCCAGAGTCTTGTCTCAGGAATCCCATATAGGCCCAGGAGAGGGGTCCCCCCACATTCTTGACCTGTTGAAATACCTATGCTTATTGATGTTTATTGACTAAATTTCAATGTCTACAGACTAAATCACGGTTTTTTCTTTTGTTCGTACAAGTCCATACCGTGGATCAACATGTTAGGTTCTTGGTAAAAGCACAACTCCTATGGGATAAATCAGCAAGTCATATTTAATCATATTATATAAATCATCATTTCTACTCGTTCAATCAGTTCAATCTCCATTTTTTGCTGGTAATATCTCCAAGTCTTGCAAGAAAAAGCAAACCCATTTTTGCAGTAAATCTCCGTTGTGTCTTTCCTGGTAATTTTTGCAGGTATATCTTGTTTTACAGTACAGTAAGTAAAGGCATTTTTTTTAGTAATATCCCATGTAGATATCCCAGATAAAATTGGGATAAATATAATCTGGTTGGTGGTTTGAAACATTTTTATTTGTCCATATATTGGGAATAATCATCCCAGCTGACTCATATTTTTCAGAGGGGCTGAAACCACCAACCAGTAATTATATAAATTACTTACTTGTAAGTACCCTCTGGTAAATAAACATAGACCCTGAAAATGACCAATTTTTAATGGAAACTAGTCTTCCAACCCCGATGACTGCCAGGATCGAACTGTTAATTTACCAGAGGGTAAATTGCTGGTAATATCTCCATGTAAAGTCCCAATGAATTTACTGCTCCTCATCCCAGCATCTCCCAGGGATATGCCGCGGGTTGGACAAGGAGCCTACCTTGTCCCGGCACAAAAGCCATGGCGGGGGTCCAATGGGTTTGTGGGAAAATGGGAGATACCCCAATTGAATGGGATTTTGTTAAAGGAAATATTGATTGAATATGTGACATATAGCCATATTGAATAACATTATATATATAATATATATAATATTGAATATATAGCCAACTCGCCTAAAGGTTCAAATATTTTCGACATCATGGACTTTCACTTGGATGATTCTCCCATTTCTGTAAATGGTTAGTGTAAGTGGGGCAGCCACAAATGGGATAGACCTATAGGTGACCTTACTAACCAGGGTCATTTTTCATAACCACTTACTAAGTGGGATGAACCTCCAGGTACACCCCCTGAAGTGGTTTCAATGATTTACTGTTTGCAACCATACTTTTGGGTGATGGGTTAAAAGTTAAAAGCATTTAATTTTAAACTCACAAAAAAAGATGCCCAATACTCATTTTAATCGCGAAAAGAATAATCAGCCAGCAAATTTGGTGGTACTGAACAAGTTTCAGACAAACCTGTACGGGTCAAAATGTTTGGGATGTGAACCATCAAATACACGACATTCCAAATAAAGATGAAATATGATAAACTTATATAAAACACAGATTTAACCAGAGTATGCAAAAAATCCTAGGCTGTTGATCATTTAGGGAGGTACCATCAAATAGTAGCAGATGGCATCACTTTGTATGGGCAACCCCCCTACTTACAGTAATCAACTAGGGTACTTAACATCCGAGGCTGGTATCACGGGTCAGACATGGTTGGTGGTTTCAAAATGTTTCAAACATGATTTGTTAATTCCCCAACCATAGAAATGGAGGTTTCCTACAATAGGCTAGTACCCCCAGTTCTCATCCATTTATAGATTGGGCTTTTACACCATGAACCGACCATCTTGGGGATACACAATAACAAGCATGTGTTCAAGTGGCTGGGTCATAAGCAAGGATGAAAATGAATTGGAAAGCCATGGGTTTTACATGGTGAAACCCCACCATCCAAATGGATAAAGCAAGGATAATGGCCGTGCAACAAATGGCGGTTTTAGAGGATGGCTATCCCATTGGGTTTTGCCGATCAATCCCACGCAACTTGCCTGTGGGGCATATATATATACATATAATTATAATTATATTATAACGCTGTGGGTCAAAATCATTGTGTTGTTGAAGTTTTCGGCTTTTGGTGGCTGCTGGTTGGGTACTCATATGGGTAAGAATGTATATAATTGGGGCATTAACCATAGACAGGTGCCTTTGTAATTATCACTGATGGACAATGAATAGGAAAAGCCAGTAACGACCTACAGTAAACACGATCAAACATCACAGATGATCGTTTGAAAGTCAGTCGCCCCAAAACAACTACCCTCTGGTAAACTAGCATAACTATGGAAAATCACCATTTTTCATGGGAAAACTCACTATTTCAATGGCCATTTTCAATAGCTATGTTAGTTTACCAGAGGGTATTGCAGCGACTGGTGAATAAAGATGAGTGACCTGCCCCGGTCCGACCATCGAAATGTGGGATTCAACCAGCAATGTTCCGGTAGACCTGGGTTACCACAGATGGGGCGATGGGGCAAATTTGGTCATACGCTGATTTCATGTCCTAATGTTTACCATTGAAAATCCCAGATGTAGATGAGTTCATGTTGAAAAAGTGACATATTTTCCGTGATTTTCCATGGTCCGATTGGTCAAGTATCAAGGCTTTGCCGTTGATATCCTGTAGGTATCGCGTTTGATGGTGTATTTCACCACGGGTGCGTCGTCCTTATACTCCACATGCGCAAACAGTCGAGGGGCTCAGGGGCTCAGGGGTGGTCTCAAGAATGGATTCGACATTGCACCTGCAGAGAAATTGAGGAATTGGCAGTGCAAATGAAATTCAGACCTGAGAAAATATCAAGATCTGATTTGGATACATGTTCCTGAACATTTTGTCACTCCTGCTTGTAGATCGCAATTTGACCCATAGCCGTACATAAATGGGCAGATAGTTGGACGAAATGCCTCTGGTTCAAAAAAAGACCCAAAAATTGGTGAGTTAAACACAACAGATGCACAATTTGGTGAGACAACTCCACATGCGAAACAACAGAAACTTGAGTCGTGCAGGAGTCAAAAAGTGCCAATTTCAGCCTTTACGTTGAGGTTTCTCTCGGACCCACCATGCACAGGCAAGATCTGGTTGGTGTTTTTTTCAATAATCAATAAGTAAAATCCTGTTAAACTTCAATTATTTTAACATTTTTAATTTCAGGATGGATCCATGGAGAGATGGTCTTAATCAATAATTGGATCCATTTTAACTGGATGATTCAATTATTTTGACATATGTGGATCCATGGATTGGACCAAGGTGACAGCATGCTGTCCTTTCTGTCCTTTTTTTTCGAGGCCGCATTCTGTGGAAAAACTTGGGAGGCAGCCGCACTCATTATACATTATTATATAAGATCTGGGTAAATTATAACGACCTCACTGTTCTCCCTCACTGGAATCATGGTTAGTAAGGGAAATCATCCCCAAATGGCCTTAATTCAGGTTAGTGAATTATTGTAATTTACCCAGATAAGATACATTAAGATACTACATCTTACTAGCTAGCTAAGATGTTACATGATCAATGTTTGGAGTCTCACCTCAGACTTTGGGTTCCTGTCTTACCCGTTTTGGACTTCAAACTGTAGTTGCCACATATGGGTTGCTCATTTTACCCTCCGTGTCTCTGGAGTGTTGGGAGCAACCATGCCTATAGCTGCTGCCGTTATGACATCACTGGGAGTGCATCCCTTCAGTTCGGAACTTTTTGCAGTTGGAGCATACCATTAGCCATACATAATGCATAGGTAATGAAGGTTATTTACACGCCATATCAATGTATACAATTCTAGATACATGATATGTACACATCATATTTAAAGTGATCTTGGAAGATAAAGGCACCGAAAAATGAGGTCTGTTGCGTCTCTGTTGGCCTCGACGTATATGTGAATTTTAGCCTTGAATGACTTCCCTATGACTTTATAGATGTCAAAAAGACTCGACTCGGAGGGAAATTATACGTAGTTTTGTTAAAGGAAAACACCTATGATTATGAGGGAAAAACACAAGCAAACCACATCAAAACGCACTCTTCTGCAAGTTTCGCTCATCATCAGCATCATCATGACTATCATGCTCCCCACTACAGTGTATATATATACTGGTTGGTGGTTTGGAACATTTGTTTCCATAATATATGGGATAATCTTTCCCATTGACTTCCATATTTTTCAAGATGGTTAAAACCACCAACCAGTATATTATATCATACATCTGGGTAAATTATAACGACCTCACTGTTCTCCCTCACTGGAATCATGGTTAGTAAGGGAAAATATCCCCAAATGGCCGAACAATTCAGGCTAGTGAAATATTATAATTTACCCAGAAGTAATTATGCCCTAATAGAAATACACTACCCATTTGGGAATGGTTTATACCACCTATCTAAATGTTTGAATTATCTCCCCCAAACCAAGCCATGGAAAAAAAAAACACCGCATCACCACGCTGCGACTGAAACCGCTCCGCCATGTTGGCGGCCAACTCTGTGTCGCAACTGTCCGCCTTGGCCGCTGCATGGCGCAAGCAGGGGATCATCGGCATCATTGCCCGGGGGCCCAGTGACCAAAACATGGCTGGATAGAAAAACTGAGGATATCATGCGTTATGAATAATGACCATAGGATAAACCAGTTTTATAAACGTAGAAGAATTGAATCTTGAGTACTGTAGGTCATAATCATAATCTAAGCCAGTTGGTATCTTGGCTATACCCTGGGGGATAAAATTTGGAGATAAATGGAATAGTTTGGGAGAAACATTTTTCAGGAGTTAGAAAAACAAGGCAGAAGGGATCACACCACGGGCATTGCGTATAGCTTGTGTCCATGTTTCCTATGAACCACCGAAGCTTTAGAATTCATGATGAATGTGTACTGACTGTTCCCCACACATAGGCATTTGATGGCATTTGCCTATATCAGCCCTTGCGACGATCTCCTGTAGATAGGTGCACCATGGTGCACCGGTGCTGAGAAGTGCCACACGCGATGCAAGTCTCAAGGGTTGAAAAAACTGGTTGCTCCATTTGTGGCTTTGCCAAGAAACGGGGTACCCCAAAAGTGCATTAATATTTGTTTCACCTAGAAAAGCATCGGATTTTGGTATACCTTATTTTTGAAGAAACTCGCTGAATCGCTGAATGCTGCAATTCCCGAATCGCCGAATCGCAAGAGATTCCTCATTGGACAACCAGTGGCAACCCTCGCAGGGTGCTTTCTTTGTGGTGAATGTGGCGACCGTGGCCCTCTTTTGGTACGACAAGCACCAGGCGCCAGCCGCAGACTTGGTGGATTTCGGCACCAGTTCGATGATGGGAATTGGAGCGGAAATCATCAATGGCCGAACTAATCTGGTTGAGGATAGCCCAGACGACTGAATCAAATGAAGGCATAAAACAAAAAACACATAACAAATCACATTTTGGGGTGCTCCCTGCGATTGTGAGCTATGTAATAAATAGACTATGCTAAGCAAGTGATGGTGAGTAGAACATGCACCAAGCTCGAATAGGTGGGCCCTGATGCAAAACATTGCACATCTAGACAGTGTGACATCAGGGGATCTAATCATCCGTAGGATTTAATACGTGGGATTTATATTTAATCTAAATATTATACATACTAGTGTAAGTATATGTATAGTATAATATATATATATATACACACATATGCATGCGATATACATATAGATGTATGATAATATATATATAGGTATGATTTACCGTATTTATGTATATATACATATGCTATATATATATATGTGTATATATATACATATGCTATATATATATGTATATGTATATATATATATATATGTATATATATATATGTATATATATATATGTACATATGTATGTATATATATATATGTATATATATATGATATGAGGTGGAAAGGGATGAAACAGACACAGCCCTCAATTGACGACAGGCGAAACATGGTGGCTGGCGCGTGCCTGAGAAAACTCTGCAAGGCACAGCCGCCCTCGGTGGCTGGCCTGCTGGGTTTCACGGCTGCACGTCCAGCTGGGGAATCTCCCTAGAACTGATCGGAACATCATAAGAAAAGATGTGATTTTTGTTGGAACATCCCCTACAAATGGAGTTAAAAGCTGGGAAGATCATCTATTTCTATGGATAATTAATGTTCAATGGAACCATCCATGATTTTGTTCTAGCTTTGACGGAGGGTAAATCAGTGAAGGGTAGTTAGCAATCCTATTACTTTATGAAAATAACCCCCATATGGGACCCTAAAATAAATAGGGCCACTAATAGACCAGGAGGCTCTGGGTGGTATTTCATAGTATCTTCATAGTATTTAGATGTATTTAGGACGAAGGCATTGCGAAAACGCATATTTTGCCATAAATGGTCACACCTTCCTGTGAACTAAGACATGGAAAAGCCACCTTTTGGTGTCACTCCGAACTCGGGAAACCATGGATTTTCCACGTCTCATGGATTCCACAGGACCAGGGGATCATCGAATCTGGTTAAGGGAAATCATCCCCAGCCGCATCCGCAAGATTCGGGGTGAATATATGGTTATAATATATGGTTATTATATGGGATTATAATGGGATAATCATCTTTATTTCATGGAGTTATATACCAATAATAGTGGTTAATGATGGTTAATGGTTAATAATCACTCGTTGGTGGTGACTGGAACCATGGAATTTTATGACTTTCCAGATATTGGGAATAGTAACCCCAACTGACGGACTCATATTTTTCAGAGGGTAGGTATACCACCAACCAGTTATAGTTTACCCAGATCTATAGATTGATAATTTTCAATTGCCATGTTTGAGATTACTTCTGTAGATGGTGAACCAAAAGACATGCAGAGTGTCAGAATGCCCATGATTTAAAGAAAGGCTTTCTGTGGCGGTGTTCTTCAAGGGCCAATTTTCATGTCGCTTTATCCAAGGGTGGATTTAAAAAAATGAAAAAAGGGGATAGCATCTGGTTACTTAACAGTGTGCCATGGAAAATCACCATGCTATTATTAGGTAAACCATCTATTTCTGTGGGCCATCGAAAAACCATGGCGAACTGTTAGTCATAACCAGAGGCTAAATCGTAGTAAATCGTAGCACTGTTCTAGTCGACTGCTGGTGAGGTACGTTGCTATGCAGATGTTTCACCACAAGACGAAGAGACTTGGATCGTTCATATCGGATCTTAGGCCGGACAATCATTTCAATGGATTGGTTCAAGGAAAAATCTACAGGAAACCATCGATTTTCCCATTAGATATGGGGTTTTCCTGTAATTTGTTCCCTTAAACCAATCCATTGATCATTGATGATCACTTATTGAACATAATTGAATACAATTGATTGTCATTGAACATTGCTATAGATATAGAATTGTCACTGAATATGTGCCACCAAAAAAGTGATCCAATAAAAAGATCTCCTTAAGTGCACTTCTGAGGCCAAATCTTGTCAGAAAAACATGTGAAAATTGCGTTTCTTTCAAGTCTTTCAAGTTGACAACCTGAATTGGAGAGAATCAATGCTGAATCTTTAGCAGAATACTAGAATCCCTGTTCACCACATAGTCGACCGTTTTACACCACCTTGCACCATTTGTCCGCTCAGGAAAGAAAGCTTTCGTGCCTCAGATCTGGGGCAGGTGGGTGAAATGGAAATGGAGGCTGACATCATTTTGGTCAGTGGATTAGTGGCTTTCCGGTTTCAACTTTAGACCAATCCATTGAATTGGTGCTTGAAAAAGCTATTGTTTCCAGGAATTCCTGGTTTAATTTTTGTGTTTCCTGTTCTATGTCCATTCTCTCCCTGCAAGGATTGATAGACCTTGAAGATCCTTTTGAAGTAGTGGATGAACGTTGTCAGAAGTTTGTTGCTTAGCTCGTTTTTGCATGTCTTTGTCAGTTCACGTACCCATCACTTCCCTTGCACTCAGCATTCCCGCATTTGATGGTGCCTCCATATTTAATCTGATTTGATGGTGATACAGTATGTATGTCTAGTATTGTTGTTGCTTGAGAACCTTCATTAGAATTATTGGTTACGAGATCCTCGTCGTTGGTTAGTTTCAGAATGTTTCAGATTTCCACGACTGATTAAAGCCCTCATATTTGGTATGGCTCGGATTTTTATGCAAAAGATGGCTGGCAAACTAGCAGAAACGAGCAAGTTTGGACGTCCATTGGTATTCCATTCTTGGGCCATAGCCATATCACAGTGTTTTCTATTATTCCCGTTCATTATAGTTATATCGGAGCATGGGGAATACAGATATGATATTGATGTGATTATGAAGTCCCCATTTAGTGTAGCTTCATTCCCACAGTACCCTCCCAGTGGAATGTGCATCCCACTTACCTAGTGGTTTGATAACCCATACCCATTGACCTGGGACCTGGGCTGGAGACCTTTCCCATCAAAACAGCCATTTTGGGCCCATATTTTCTGAATTTTCTGACAAACCCACCCATAACATACCAGACCTCAGGCAAATACACAGGCCAGTAAGCATACCAGTGTTACAGGGGGTTATCAACCTAACTGCTATTGGGGGATCACAAAACATGTTCCATTTCATAGGGATTTATGTACCAAATTCATGGAAGTATTGCCTCATGGTATGGTAATTTTCGGGGCTCATGATGGTGGTCATCCCCACCCCGCCCATTAATCCGTAAAAGTAAGCTGATCGTAGTTAATCCATGAATCATGCCCCAATTGATCTCCACTCAAATCCTGGGTACATTCCCGACATTCCCATTTAAATCCCATTCAATACAGGCCCATATGGTAATATAGAACGTGTTCATTCAAGTCCATTACAATCGATCAAAATCTCATAACCAAACCCCCATCAAATTACCAGTTGGTGCTCAATATATATATATGTGTGTGTGTGTATAAAATTGTAAGAAAAATAAATTGGTTCTCAATACATGTATCAAATGGTCTATAAAAAATGTGTCATCAAAAATCACCCTTTTTGGGGATTTCTGGTGAAATCCATCCCTGGTGTTTTCCCATGGCCACCGTGTCCTTAAGGCGTCGGCTACCACGCGGCCACCGCTGCCAATGTCGGCCTGTGCTCCGTCGGCATGGCGTCGCTGGTGGGCAAGGCCGGCGCCGTCGTCGCGCCCAAGCGGCGGCCCAAGCGCGGGGAGCGCGGCAACCAACGGCGTAGCTAAGCTGAGGAAAGCGTGGCGCAGCTGTGATTTCTTGGAAAAATGTGTAATATATATATATATATATTATACTAATGTAAATGAATATAGACTTACACTATCTATAGTAATTCTAGCATATATAAATATAACTATATATATATATATGCTTACTACTAATGTAGATGATGTAGGTGATGGTGATATATATATATATATTATTGAAATTTATCATTTGAATTTATAGTCATGTGTGTAGTTGTATTAGCAAAATATAGCAATCATTAAGTGAATAGTTGAGTAATTAGTCAGTTCGTGTTTTTTTTGACATAGTAATTCCTAGTTTATGGGGGCGATAATTTTATGTAGTAAATTGTCGTTAGTGGTTCGTGTGTAGAATGTGTATTAATTTGTGGTACGTTTATAGTGATGTGTGGCTTATTTTGAAAAACTTAAATACATTAACGGCAATTTATGATGCATTGATGGGTATTCAAGATTCACTGGAAATGAGTTCCTATTTTCTAGTGCCATCCCTGACATAGACCCTGAGAATCGCCATTCTGGCGAAGTGACATGGGATGTGAAAAATGGATGTCAGCCCCTCTATTCATCGTGGGGTCGCCCCAAGAACGGGATAATCCATAGCTATGCATGGAGAATTACCATGTTTGATGGTTAGTCGCCATCTATAAATGGGCCAACTGAAATACCAATTTTCCATAGCTATGTCAAATCTCCGGATGTAAACTAGGCTTCGTTTGGGTGGTATCTAGTATGAGGGGGAAGGGACTACTTCGCTCTTCAAATTTGGTGCCCCTCAAATACACCGATATGGTTCTACTTCTACCATCTAGGAGGAGACGATATGGATTTATAGATATTTATAGCAACCCCAGAAAAGAGAAAAATAAAAACATACTAAAAAAGTGGCAAAACGGTGTTTTGTCTTGTACAACGGTTCAGGCGTTGATTCCAACTGTAGGATGCATAGAGGATAAACCACGTGGTGCCGCAGCTTTGACATTTTTGTGCCCTTGTGGTGCACTGGTGCCCGCAAATGGCAGGGACCAGAAACCTGAAAGGAACCAGAGACTTGAAGACGGAAACCGCATGTTTTGTTCGAAATCATGGCTATCACAAGATTGATATCGTGTTTTTTTCACAGTCGGTTTCCAGGTCTTCATCATTTGAATTGAAGCGCAATTAGAATCTAGCTGACATTCAGATAGAGCGTACCGCACACCTTTTAAAGTGCGGGGTGCAGAGTCCCACTGCACATACCATGCGAAGGATTGGAAAAACAGTGCAGGGTTTCAGGTGTCCGGGGCAGGTTCTGTTGCAGACATCCTTTGCTTCATAGGTAAGATTGACAATGAACCCCCGGCTGGAAATGACCCCCCAGTCATGGTTACTATGTTACTGAGATGGTTTATCGCTTTGGGTTAACCACATGATAGATTTGGTAACTTGATGCCCTGCCACTGCTCCTGTACCAGACGAAACCATGTTGAGTGAAACCTTGCGAAACCACTATCCCAGGGTTGATAGTTTTTGCTGGCTGGCGCAACTCTCTCATATGCACCACACAAAAAAAAAACGAGAAGGTGGTTTTTACTATGATACTGTAAAACATTGAAATTCATTGATTTTTGGGAAATGTTCAGACAAAATCACCATGGGATGCTTCATTCTTCTGGCGCTTCTGTCGTGAGGCCTGAAGTCCTAATTCTCCACATAAAACTGGGCGTCATTCCATTTACACATGGCTTAGACTGGTTGGTGGTTTGGATCATGAATTGTATTTTCCCATTAATATTGGGAATAATCATCCTAACTGACTATAACTGACAAACTAATATTTTTCAGAGGGGTGGCTCAACCACCAACCAGTACACCTTTATTCCCCCCAAAAAAAATCCTGGTGATTTTTCACCGGTTCGCACCAGGCGAGCGCAAAATGGTGGTGCTGCTGATTCCCTGCATTTTCCTGGTGCTTCTACCGAGGTCAAAATGGGGAATTTTCCGGAAATTGGGGGAAGATATGGGGGAAAGTCATGGTTTACCGTTTACCAGTCAAAATGGTGACTTGAAATGATTTAAGAACAGTTCAAAGAACTTTCAGAAACAGGAATTCGATGACATTTCTTGATGTCGCAAGGATCATCGATAAAAATGGATCAACATGGCCGCATTTTTCGGGGATATCTCCAATAACGTGAAGTTGAACTAGAGGCCATCCAGATGGGACCCCGGAGGACTATGGCGAAAAATGGGGCCGGGGTGGTGACAGGAGGATCCCTACTTGGCTCACGATTGATCTTAACAGACTTCCCCTTTCGATATCTTACAATCAGGCGATATCAGGTTTCACAATTGGCAAAACGGAGTTCCTATCCATCCGACAGCGTCACTGCTGGATTGGCCCAAACCCTGCTATCCGCAGCATGTCAATTTCCCAAATGGGTGAAAAAAATTCTGGACAAATCCGATTTTTTATCCGATCATCCCAAAAAAAACATCCTCCAAAAAATGATGGACACTTTGTTCGGAAACGAGCCACCCCAAAGGTTGTTTGGCCAGGCTGTGGCCCTGTGGCCTGATCAGGGAGTCACCGAACCATATCTGTGTATTATATATATACACACACGTAACGTTGTATGATGTTGTAATATGTTGTATGTAAATTTTCTAAATTATATCTCTGTATGTATGTTGTATGTAAATTTTCTAAATTATATCTATATATATATATGATATGATGACATGGTTGATATACTGAGTTTTGATGTCCAGTCAAGTATACACGATCCATGCACCCGAGATGAATTGCAAAGGGATTCCCAAACTGCTCCTTTGACAGTTCCAGAATGTCCACATCACCAAGCTTCAGGGGTTTCATCCAATGGTTTATCATCATTTTCCAAACCGAAACCTGCCATTTTTTGGGGGGTATCTCTGGTCCTACTAGACGAACCTATACATGTCGACACATTAGCTATGATTAGCTATTATTAGCTATTATTATTAATTAGCTATGATGATGAAAATAAATCGGTCGCAGAAAGCAATAGCGTTTGGGAAAAGCTTTCTTACATACGCCTTTGGACTTACGAGGTAACGAGCAGTCGTTGTGGACACAGATCTCCCAGCGCCGTTCGATTTGGCCGAATCCTAGCAAATGACCATCAGGGCACAACATGATTCATGTGACATTTCTGAATATACCATGTCAAACACATGCCCATTTATGTACCTTGACACCAGAAGTAGCTGGTTGAGTCACTAGTAATCATTAACAGTTCTTAAGCCACCACTGTGCTGCAATGATATTAATGGTGAATGATCATTAATAATTGATTATATATATAAGATTATATATATATGTCTATATATATATACATGTCTATGGAAAGATGTGATGGTTCTCCTGGTTCTTTGTTGGATCAACGGTGTGGAATGTGTTTGACGGAAAAACTTCAGCATTGGGTCGCCCCGGTGAATGGATCTGCCATGATGACTGACGCTGCAGAGGCCTGGACCTTTGCAAAATGTCACTGGATTGGAAGGGAAAATCTACACCGGAAACCATGGTTTTTCCCAGCAAATTTGGGGTTTTCCGGTTTTTTGATTTTCCCCGAAAAACCAATCCAATGAGAAAATCACTGGTTTGTTGATCAGCAAATATTGAAAATCCATGGTAAAATTCTGTGAAAATCCTCAGCTGAAGAGTGAAAATCCGGATGCTAAAGGGTTTCACCATGAGAATTTTATCACTGCTTTGTTAAAATCGCGGTGTCAAAAGCACATATTATGAGAAACCAAGAAGATCTGGGAGCTTCAAATCTGGATGTGTTTCATATCCCATAGGATCCATGTATGGTATATATTATATGCTAACATTTGGGGTATATTGATGGTAAATGTCACCATATATAGCATACATGGATCCTATGGGTATCATGAATTCAAACGAAAATTATTCAGACGCTCAGAAATCCGGCTGAATGTTCTATTTAGTGCACGCTGCCAAAACCTCCGCCATCCTCCGCTCATGGATTTCAGTTCATTCTCGTGGTATCAGTGATCATGACCATCCAAATTTCTTCATTCGCTCTAATTCAATACGGAAACCAAAAATGGCTATACAGTGCTATACAGCTATACCATACAATCTTCCCAATCCAGTTTTTTGCAGTTCCATGTCAAATTTAGGGGGTGTTATCATCCATTCAATGACAGGTGGTTGACTTGCCCATTGGCAGGCGCTCGAGAAAGCTGAAGAAGGGATGAGTGCTGCGGCTTCGAAGCTTGCCTCAGAGAGCGTGTCGTTGAGTCTCATTGGAGGGTTACCTTTTCCACCTTTACCCATTGTACGGAATCCCGTTAATGATGAGAGGAAGACCATACTGTACCGGACAAAAAAGCAGCATGTTTTGGAAGTGGCACATATGTATCTGGATGAATTATGACGACCACATTGCGACGGCACAACGTAAATGGTGGGAATTGCTTCCACTTGGTGAATATATGTTTTTCAGATGTGTAGATTATCTTGGGAGAAAATTCAAGGGCCAAAACATCAATCATCCAGATTCTCAATATTTCTCGATTACCCTGAAAAATCTCAGCAGGTCGATTTCGAGGTCAGAAATCTCTGCCAACAACATTTCTATGTGGCTACCAATGGCTAGGTGAGACAAAGATTAGACATGATAATTTGCACATTGATTTGTTGCAAACTTACACTTGAAACTTTTTAGTCGGGCGATGTTGACCTTGTGGTTTGGACCCATTAATTGAAATCAAGACACCCCTTCTGAAATGAATGGTCACTATATGACCCCAGGTTAATACACCCAACTTGGTTCCTTAGCCTTAAGTTTCTGCGAACTTGCATCATGCCCAAAGAGGAATTCGCCAACCGATAGTTTGCAGATATGTGTGGCCATGGGCCATGGGTCAGAATCTGGTTTACACAGTACACGTTTATACCGACGGAATGGTTGATTACCCTCTGGTTA